GGCCCGCGGCCAGTCCCGGAGGCGGCCGCCGTCTGGACCCCGGCCAGACGTGGTCCCTAAACGTGGCCCCGGGAACCCGTATGGCACGTATTTGGGGCCGGACCAATTGTAACTTCGACGGTTCGGGCCGTGGTCGGTGCGAAACCGGTGACTGCGGTGGCGTGCTGCAATGCACCGGTTGGGGCCAACCTCCGAACACTTTGGCTGAATATGCTTTGAACCAGTTCAATAACTTAGACTTTTACGACATCTCACTCGTTGATGGATTCAACATTCCCATGGAGTTTAGGTAAAGAAAACATCTACCGAATATATGTTTGGATATATGATATATTTTGGTAATGCTTGGTAACAATTTAGTAACCTAAAGGGTAACACAACAAATTTCGTTACCAAAACACGATAATTTCGTTACCAAAGAAGAGCGTTACAAATTGATAACGCTTGATAACGATTTTTTTTGGAGTTTACGCTATATTTTCGTTACTTTTTTTCGTTAACGAAGGGCAACACTATATCATAAATTTACGTACGACACGTTAACACTATATTCTTCAGTGCTACGAACTCGAACTGCCGACGCATAGTGTGCAACGCGGACATCAACGGGCAGTGTCCGAGCCAGCTGAGAGCACCGGGCGGATGCAACAATCCGTGTACGGTGTTCAGGACGAACGAGTACTGTTGCACGAACGGACAAGGATCGTGTGGACCGACCACGTTCTCGAGATTCTTCAAAGATCGATGCCGTGATGCTTACAGTTACCCACAAGACGATCCTACAAGCACTTTCACTTGCCCTGGCGGAACTACCAACTACAGGGTTGTGTTTTGCCCTTAAGCCCTAAAATGACGAGTTTCCTCTCTCTACTTATGGTCACCTACGTTATTAGACCATATATATATATATATGTATGTATATGCGCATATACATATGTTAGTGTATGCGTGAAAGTAATGGTGTGTACGTCGTACGTGCATAGATAAATAATGAAAGTAATAAGACCACGTGTCGGTTGTTAATTGTGTGTTTTTATCTTATAATAAGAGTTTGAACTTGTTAAATATTTGTTTCTGATTCAACGGTTTGATCACATGAATGATTTATCGTATCGTATATGGATGATATCGAGGACTATTTATTAAGATTACGTTTGTGATATGAAGTTTCATGTTTGGTTATTAGTGTATGATATTTGGATGATGCTTTTTCTTTAATTTTTTCATGTATTTATATAAGTAACATATGTTTGAAGATACGTATATTTTTTGGGCATTATAATTCAAATTTTGATATATTTTAACATATGGTTTTGAAATATAATAAATTGAAACTAATGTACTAAGCGATTTCATCTCGTCATAAAATAGGGAGGAACAATTCAATTTTTTCATTACCACCTTAGCCCTTAGCTTATATGACTTAAAAACTTTTGACTTTGAAATTGGCGTGGGTATGCAAAAATAGACCAATCTAGAAATATATCACAATATATTAAATTGAAATATATATTTTTTAAATAGACCTTAACTGAATATTTTTTTTAAAAAAAAACAAGGAAATCAAACGAAAATAAAATAAATTTAGAAATAAATACTTTTTAATGGAAATTCAATGCTAAACAGAACCCGAATACAATTTGATACAAAACCGAAATTTAATATAAAAATTGAAAATTTCATAATCTTTTAAAATAAAAAAGAAAGAAAATAAAAGCAATGGAAACCCGAAATGTCGAACCGGTCGTTCTGGATTCTTTGGGCCTAAAGATGAACCCTCTCAACGTCTCATGAATTTTCTCTCCCGAAGCCTCTCTCTGTCCGGACGAGTAGTGGATCCATATCCATTCAGGGACTTTGGGTTTCGGAATTTCTCGGTCAAGTCAAAGATGATTAATATGGTGCATTTCGGTTTTCGGTTTGGTATTCAAACGGTTCAATTTTAGTGTCAGTTCAGTTTGAGACGGTATCATTATATGAGTACCAAACTAAGTACTAAACCATAAGATTGACACATATATTGGTGGATAATTTGGATTTTAGTTCGATATTTATCGGATTCGGTTCAATATTTGTGCGGTTTAAGTAAAAAACGGTTTATTCGGTTCTATAAAAATGTAACAAATTAGAAGCGAATTAGATTCTGAAATCAGTCAAAATGACAAAAGAGAGAAAGCTTAGGAAAAATTGAAGGCTAAACTGTTGGATTTGCTTTAACATCTCAAAAGGATATCTTTATTCCCTTTACTATGTGTATTATCCACTGTATAACATCCATGGAACAAAGGGAAAGTACAAGAAAACAATATGCACGACAAATACTGACTTCTGCCCAAAAAACATACACAAACGACTGAGACGAGGACCCAGAAACAGAAAATTGGATCCAGAGAGAGTGACATCAAAGATTGAAACCAGAAACCAAAGTTGTTCTATCAATTCAATCATCACATTGCAAGTTCAGTTACCTCGTCTTCACGCCAAACCTGTTCCCGGTACTCAAACTCGGCCTTGGGCAGGCTCTGACAGAGCCGGCACTCCGAGTTGTTGTTGCAGTGGAGAAAAGTCTTGATCTTTGAAGCTTTCCTGATGATGGAAGGTTGGAGTTCTCGGTAAAAGTAGAAATTCTCGAAAGAAGACCTGAGGATGTCCCTGAAAACACAGTGTGAGAGGTTGAGAACCTCCAGCTTTGTATCGCCGTTCAGGAGGATCGTCAAAGCTTCCTTATCGACTAATGAGCTCCGGAGGCTCAGGGATTTGAGGTTTGGGAGATAAGCCCTGATGGCGTTCGCCATTTCTATGCTAAACGGGCATGTGAATCTTAGTTTAGAGAATCTCCTGCAGTTCTCCCCAATAACCATAATCATGCACTCTGGACGGGAAAATGCGGGTAGGGTTAAAGATTCAAGATTTTGCCATTGTTGAACAGCATTACTGAACCCGTTCAGGGTGACATTATTGTAAGTTGATAGAACAACCCGTCTCAGATTTGGAAAACTACAAGAGGAAAAGAAATAAACACAAGAATCAGAATGTATAGCCTATTATCAAAAAAAAAAAACAGAAAAAAGGATGATTGTGAATTGTACCTTTCAGAAGCAAGAGCCAAATGTTCATTGGTTAAGCGAATGTAGAAGTTGAAATATAATGTTGACGGGTTATTTCCGCTTATCCTTGAGATCGACTTTAAAATATGCAGCATTCTGTCTTTGGAATCACCATCTGACCACGCGTATGGAAGCTGGGGGGTGTTAAAGCGTCTACAAGTCAAGACAGACAGATCTATAGTGTTCCAAAGAGATGGGTCACGACAGGCCGAGAGCCACGAGTGACAGACCATAGAGACACCCGAGATCAGGTCCATTATGCTCAGCAGAGTAAATATTTTGACAAGAATCCGAGGCTCCAACTTATCCCATTCTCCAGAAGATGAGTTTGTATCGTCAGTCATAACTTCAAAGAAGACATATTACCACATATGTATTCACAGAAAAACATGTGCAGAATAAAAGATACAGCGACTATAAAATGAATCGCCTAATACCATGTTTGTGGGAGCTAAAAGAAAGACTCATTTTATAAAAGAGAACTGTGTGAGCAGACAATCTATCCATGCTTCTGGTAATAAATAAATCCGCTAATCTGCTCTTTAGCTATTTTCTGCTGTTTACAGGCTTAGCTTCCCGTGACATAAATCAACAAATCTAAACACAGATTCGAGCTTTTCAGACAGAGGTTACTTGAGCAAAATCTTATCACTGGAAATGTGTTCAGGGTTTCAAACTCAATGGTGGCAACCAAAACCCATGGTTCTTTGGATAAAAAAACTGCTTGGATTGTTGTGATAATTGTTTAACAGAGGGTTGTTGAATATTTTTTTTTTTAAAAAAAAACTTATTACAGAACCTCTTTCTTTTACAACGAGTTGAAGAGGTAGGGATTACTGGTTTGTTTGGATTCATCATCTAGAGCTTAATCTCATGTTTATGAGAACTAAAAGAACGACTCTTTGTATAAAAGAGACGAAGATATCCAACCTCTTTAAATTGATTCAAAATATCGGAGATATATCAATCTATTAGACTGAACAGTCAGAAAGTGAAGTCTACGATTTTGTATGAACATGCAAAGGGCATATGAAATCATAAAACCTAACAAAGAGAAAAAAAGAGAGAATGAGAAAAACCTTTGGCCACTTTCAATGGATATCTTCGATTAGATTATACAGTTCCACTGATGGTTTTTGGTGTCTGGTGAGGACTTAGTGACAGGGTTCTATCAGTCAGGAAAGTTTGTGCCTAATTTTGTTATAAATACACTAACTTAGTCTGTTTCTGGATACAATTCATGGTATCCAGTCTTTGCATATACATGTTTACCTTTCAAGGCAAATGACAGAACAGCATAAAAATTCTAAATTCACTATACCAATATGTTTCCCTTTTGGTTCTTTCAAACAAGGAAAAGACTTACTATTCTTTTATCATGCATACCTATCACAGATTTTGTCCGAGTATATTCTATGAAGATAACTATCACCAAAAAATCTTAGTTATCAATTGTAAATTCTCATCCATTTTCGATGAGAATTTTTTCTGGATCCGAAGGTCATAACATGATAAACCAAATTACAAGTTCAAGTTTCAAATATTAGTGGTTCTATGATACAAATTATTTAAATGCATATGCGTTTGAGCACAGGTCTTATATTTGACCTTTATAGTTTAGCCATAGGGTCTGGTTAAAGATCAGATGTGGGACGTAACTTTGTGAAATAAGGAAGTAACCTTCTTCTAACTAAACAAGAAAATAAATTACCTGGCTTACTGCCATAGCTCTTCAAACCCATTCTTCCCGTTGAAACAAATAGATGCCAGAGATTAGGAAACCTATAGAAAAGAAAAGGCCAAAAACGATAAATTTTCCAAGGGTAAGCACAGTGAAAAACAGCGTAAAATAATGATGCATGTATTACCATGGAATTATACATCTTCCATGCAAGTATGCATGTCAAGCATACATACCCGATAAAGACAAAAAATAATAATGATTGATCTCCGAGTCTATCTCATTCTCTAACACCTAATTCCCGATGAACATCCTCTTGGTTCTTCCATGGCAAGGTTTCCCTGCAAATACATACCTCAATAACAGGGCATATTTTCTTAGCAGTATTAGTTGCTTTGCAACATCAAGGTTTTACTCTTCTGCAATACTTACACATTTTCAGCTCACTGTGGCCATTGCTGTTAATTAGACTCGGTGATCATTTTTTTTTTCACGGGTCTCACTGATCAGTTCAAGAATACAAATCACAACTAAACAAGAAGACATCCAACCGGCAATGTTCATTGATCTTAAATAACCGACAAAAAGAAAGCGTGAACAAAAAACATTTTGTAAATACAGTTGATTTTCCTCATCTCCTCAATGATTCCCAGAGAACACCCAAATCAACATTACCTCCTGACAGAACAATCCCTATGTTCTTGCAATCCTGCCAAGAAGGACTGCTCTGAAAACTTTTAGATAAAACTGCTGCTAGGCCAATTGCCCCACTCGGTTCCACAGCAACTTTCAAAATTTCATAGCAGAGTCTCATCGCTTCGATTATTTCTGAGTCTTCCACAGTTATCACATCATCTACCAAATCTCTTACAACTGGCCTGGACATTATAATGCAGATTTTGTAAAATGGCCTGAATTAAATCATATTGAGCAATAGAAATAAGTGACTTTGCTCCTAACCAAAGTGTCGTATTTTGTGGAATGAAATACTGAAACTAGACAGCTATTTCGGTTTTCTAAATGTTATACAGCCCGTAATGAATGTCATATTTGGTCCCGAAAAAACCACAACCTTTTAGCGGTATGAATATGTCTCAATTCTACAAGTACAGAAAGGTATCCTCCGTATCGAAGTAGCAATTACCATGTTAAATCTCCAAGAGACGCTCGAAGGCCATCCGCTATGGTATTGGTCCCAGGCAAAGTTATGATTCTACCAGCGATCTTGGATTGAGCTGCATCATCAGCTCCCTTAGGTTCAGCAGTCGACAGTTGTGTGTAAATATATATAACCAGTTTTAAGTTTTACTCATAAGATGAAATAAAAAAATAATATATGTCCAGTTCAATGTATAAAAATATGAAAAGTTAGTTGCATACCATCGCATTAAATGCAGAGATGTGATCATTCATGGGCCTTACACGTCCACACACAGCAAAATTCTTTTTTTTTTTTAAATATATATATATATATAACTAATATACCTAAAGAGTGATCTCAATCTTGAAAGTTTATTAAAGAAAAAAAAAAGATTTACGAAATATAAAATATCAAACTTGTAAATCACATAAAATAAAGTTAGATGTAAGTTTCAAAGTCCATATCCCCTCCTCGTTCTTCGTGCCTCTCTTTTCTCCCTCTTATCTTCGAATTGACACTTCGAGATGTTGAAAGCACGAAAGCTGAAGCTCAGAGCTCTGGTAGTCCCACGCCAATGGCAGCAGCTAGAATCTGAATGCTAGGCTTTATCGACTTGGCAGGAAGCGCCACACCAGAAATCAATCCACCTCCTGCATTATTTTAGATAGCACTTAGAATATCAAGAAGAATAAATATTGCTGATTGATTGTGTGTCACACTGAAAAGTGGTCAAACAAACCGCTTATTGGTACAACTATGGTGTCAATCTCTTCGGTTTGCTCTAACAGTTCCAATGATATTGTACCCTGGCCACTGTTAAAAGAAACCATTAACACGATTTATCATTACATGACACTGCAGTTGCATTGCACCCATAATGAGCATTTGAACAAAAGAACATACAAACCTAAACTAAGATGCTAACCTAAACCTAAACTAAGATGTACAAAGCAGGAACGTGGCATACCTCATAATGCGCCCATCGTTATAAGGGTGCACAAGAACAGCACCAGTTTCCCGCAAAACTTCTAATGCTACTTTCTCTCTAGAATGCATTGTTGGTTCACTCCATATTACCTTACCACCATATCGGATGACATTCTCAACTTTGCACTTCGGAGCGTTTTCTGGGACAACGATGTATGCTGGGATTCCACGTAAATTTGCAGCCAAAGACAACGCAGCAGCATGATTGCCACTGATAGGAGCAAATTAACCAAAAGATTAAATGATATGAGCTAAATATCAACTATCCGGCCATGTTCACTATTTCCCCCAGGTATAGCAAATGAAATCAGTAACATTTTCCCTAACCTTTCAAAGTAGTATGCCAAAGTTCTTTAACATTTATCGAAACCATCTATTCATCTGTGACAATTATCACCTTTCCAGTACACGAGAACTAGCACTGTTCATCTATCCCAGCCAACTTTTGTAGAACTATGATTTCCATCTTTCCCGAAACATATGTCATACACTACTAGCGATCATTCTAAGACAAACCTGCTGTGTGTTACAACCCCTTTGTCTGCTTGTTCAGCATCAAGTGACAAAACAGCATTGCAGGCACCTCGGAATTTAAACGCTCCACTAGAAAACCAACATAGACAGGAAAGAAAGGGAAAATAATTACAATATGCAAAGGCATCGATGGAATCTTCACAAAGAAAGAAAAAAAATCTATACACAGAACGGATACTTGAAGGGTAAATAAATTCACAGGAGCATTACTATTCAATACTCTCACCCTTTCTGAAAGCACTCGCACTTGAAGAACAAGTTTCTTCCGGAGATAGAATTCAAAGACTCGGATGTTAGAACAGGAGTTCTGTGTATATACGGTTTAATACGTTCATGAGCTTCCTTTATGGAGGAGATATCAGCAGCATAAATCTGTCTGCTCGTCCCTGTATTTGCTTCCATCTAAGGGCAGAATTCAAATAACTTTATTATCTCACAGCAACAATGGAACTATGAACAAAGCTAAATATATCAATCTCCTGCAAATTAGAAACACAGGATCCCCATTCTTGCTTATAATCTCCATAAAATTAAACACTCATCAGATTGCTACAAATCTGTTGATTTGTTCGGAGCAAAACCACAACATTGCAGCATCGAATCTTACAACATAAACTCGGCATTATGTTTTCCTCCGCAGGTCACAAACTTTCGACTAAAATCCATAATACCCGAAAGTCGCAAACTTTATCCGAACTAAAAGAGAGCCCTAAACCCTAAAATTCTTCAAATGGCACAAATTGATAGACGATTCATAAAATCGACTACCCGATTGCATTTCCAGGTGCATGAAATCAACCAAACAGAGCAACTTTACAAGGCAGGTCCCTATATACTCATCTGGGAATTGAAAATTGAAAACGAGTTACAGGAGGAAAAGTTACCAACCTTTCAGAAATTAGGGTTTAGGGTTTGAAATTTGTCAGGATTGGGGATTTCAGGTGTCCAGAGTCCAGACAAGTCAGTCATGAAAGGGGTGGAGAGACAGCAGGACGTTATCGTATACAATAGTCGAACTGTTCGTCGTTTCGCGTACACGAAAACGCCATCCAGCTTCCACCGAAAATGTGTGTAAATATATATAACCAGTTTTAAGTTTTACTCATAAGATGAAATAAAAAAATAATATATGTCCAGTTCAATGTATAAAAATATGAAAAGTTAGTTGCATACCATCGCATTAAATGCAGAGATGTGATCATTCATGGGCCTTACACGTCCACACACAGCAAAATTCTTTTTTTTTTTTAAATATATATATATATATAACTAATATACCTAAAGAGTGATCTCAATCTTGAAAGTTTATTAAAGAAAAAAAAAAGATTTACGAAATATAAAATATCAAACTTGTAAATCACATAAAATAAAGTTAGATGTAAGTTTCAAAGTCCATATCCCCTCCTCGTTCTTCGTGCCTCTCTTTTCTCCCTCTTATCTTCGAATTGACACTTCGAGATGTTGAAAGCACGAAAGCTGAAGCTCAGAGCTCTGGTAGTCCCACGCCAATGGCTGCCATCACAAATTCTGCAAGAGACCCCATTATTCGTTTGTATAAGTACGTGTAGTATACGCGCACATATACACGCTACACATACGTGTGTGTGTATACACTTTTTCTAGATCTTTGTGCCATTAATGGTGATCCTTAGTCAAACTCATGTGACTTAAGCGTCATTTAAGGATCTTTACTCTGGATAATGGATCACATATTCATGTTCATATGCATGGATGTATGTATGTATGTATGTATGCATGCATGCATGCATGCTTGACCTTCTCTAGATCTATATCTATGCTATATATTGACATTACACTATATGACATATAAGTTGAGGTACACCATATCGCATTTATTTATAACGCTGCAATATGTTGCAGTCCTCCATATCATATTTATAGTTATTGTGCATATATATATATATATATATGTGATATAGTACAATGTCGGTCCTGATAATTCGAGACGAGAACATTTACGAAAATACCAAGAACCGTTACTTGAAGTCTAAGCGTTGGTCCATATATTTTAAGCCCCTTCCATATATTAATACATATAATATGTGTATTACTGTGTGTATATATCACCATGACTGCGAAATCCACGTCTCTTTTTACCGGTATCTGTGTATATAGCAATCCAAAACATCGATCTCTTGGATTCATAAGACACAAAACTCTCACAATACATATATATATATATATACACATATATAGAAGCTATATATGTGTATCATTTCACTGGAAGATTGAAGAGGGAGATCTTAATCAGATTACCACATTAAAGTCTTCACCTTTCAAACTCGTTCTTGTTAAAGGTAACATCTTTTCTTCTTCACTAAAGAAAATATCTTTACCAGAAAATCAATCATTCTTAAAGTTGACTTCCATGTAAAAACTTTGTTCTATTTGTCTGTAAGTGCGTTCTTTGTCTTGAAACCCTTTGCAGAAACATTCCCAGATATATATATATGTCTGTATGTATGTATTTCAGATCTGAAAGCAAAGTTGCATCAATTTCACCAGAAAAAACCCTCTGTGTTTCTGTAGCTCCATGTCTTAAATGGTGAAAATCTCATGTTTTTGCAGGTGAATCTTGATACTTTGGACGCCATATTACAGTTCTTTTGCCATAGTGGTCGCGCAAAATGATGATGAGCAATCTGAAACTGGGTGTGGATGTGATCGGAGCTCATAATCTTCTCCCGAAAGACGGGTTAGGTTCATCCAGCGCCTTTGTCGAGCTCTTCTTCGACGGTCAGAAGTTCCGCACGACGATCAAAGAGAAAGACCTGAACCCTGTCTGGAACGAGAGCTTCTTCTTCAACATCTCCGACCCGTCTCGTCTTCACTACCTCACTCTCGAAGCTTATGTCTACAGCCATATCAGATCCACCAACGGCCGTTCCTTCCTCGGCAAGGTATCTCTCTCCGGAACCTCGTTCGTCCCTCACTCCGACGCCGTTGTTCTTCACTACCCGCTCGAGAAACGCGGTATCTTTTCCCGTGTGAAAGGCGAGCTCGGCATGAAGGTTTATGTCTCAGACGCTGCTTCGTTGAAATCCTCTGTCCCTTCTCCTTCTGAAAATCTTGATCCCCAAGCCATAACTGCTTCTCAGACAGGTAGATCTGTTGCAGTTATGTAAGAAAAGTTTTACACATCTGTTTCGTGTCCTGTTCTTGTGTTTCTGAGTTCGTGTGTTTCAGTTTCAGCAATGAAGGTAGAACACCGACCCGAGAAGGAAAGGCGCGTCTTTTACCATCTCCCAAACGATCATCACCATCCACAATCGTCGTCTTCAGCGGCTGAAGCAGATCATCATCATCATCATAATGAACATCATCACCATTATGTGCCGAAACACCAGGCTGATGAGCTGAGACCTGAACCAGCACCACCCGCGAAGCTTGTCCATGCGCATTCTCTTGCGTCGGCTCAGCCCGCGGATTTCGCGCTCAAAGAAACAAGCCCGAATCTCGGCGGCGGGAGAGTCATTGGCGGCCGTGTTGTTCACAAAGACAAGACCAACACAACTACTTATGATCTTGTCGAGAGGATGTATTTCCTCTACGTGCGCGTCGTCAAGGCTCATGAGCTTCCGATTATGGATATCACCGGAAGTATCGATCCATTCGTCGAGGTTTGCAGATAAATGTAGAAAAAATCGATATCTTTGATCATTTCGATAGTGTAGATTTCGGTTTTAAATTGCTTTCGTTACAGGTAAGAGTTGGGAACTACAGAGGAATAACACGACATTTCGAGAAGAGACAGAACCCGGAATGGAACCAAGTTTTCGCCTTTGCGAAGGAGCGAATGCAAGCATCGATACTCGAAGTCGTGGTGAAAGACAAAGACCTCGTGAAAGACGATTATGTCGGGTTTGTACGCTTCGACATCAACGATATTCCTCTGCGTGTGCCTCCGGACAGCCCCCTTGCTCCACAGTGGTACAGATTAGACGACAAGAAAGGCGAGAAGATCAAAGGCGAGCTAATGCTTGCTGTCTGGATCGGGACACAAGCCGATGAAGCCTTCTCGGATGCTTGGCATTCCGATGCTGCAATGCCCGTAGATTGCACTCCCGCTATCTCAGCAGTTCTTCGGTCAAAGGTACCAAATCTTTTTCAGGATCAAGAATCTATGATCGAGAAGGAAACTGAATCTGATTCTGGGACAGGTCTATCACGCCCCGAGGTTATGGTACGTCCGAGTCAACGTGGTCGAGGCACAAGACTTGGTTCCGACTGAGAAAACCAGGTTCCCTGATGTCTATGTCAAGGCACAGATCGGGAACCAGGTCATGAAGACCAGAACATGTCAGGCTCGGACACTTAGCGCGTTATGGAACGAAGACCTTCTGTTTGTCGCGGCCGAACCCTTTGAAGATCATCTGGTTCTCACAGTTGAAGACAGAGTCGCTCCAGGAAAAGACGAGATCCTTGGGAGATCTATCATCCCATTAACCACAGTAGAGAAACGAGCCGATGATCGGATGATACATTCAAGATGGTAATGTCCATAGTTTCAGTTCAAATGCTCGATTTCGATCAAATCTCGGGTACTAATCGGCTAGTTTTGAACTGTTTCTGACAGGTATAATCTGGAGAAGCCGGTTGTGGTCGATGTTGACCAGCTAAAGAGAGAAAAATTCTCGATGAGGATCCATCTTCGGGTTTGTCTCGAAGGAGGGTACCATGTTTTAGATGAGTCTACTCACTATAGCAGCGATCTCCGCCCGTCTGCAAGGCCGCTATGGAGACAACCGATTGGAATTCTCGAGCTCGGGATCTTGAACGCTGTTGGTCTCCACCCGATGAAAACCCGTGAGGGCCGAGGAACATCCGATACATTCTGCGTCGCGAAATACGGTCAGAAATGGGTGAGGACGAGGACAATGGTGGATAACTTGAGTCCCAAGTATAACGAGCAGTACACGTGGGAGGTTTTCGATCCAGCAACGGTTCTAACCCTCGGTGTGTTCGATAACGGACAGCTTGGGGAGAAAGGAAACAGAGACGTAAAGATCGGGAAGATCAGAATCCGGCTATCGACATTGGAGACAGGTCGTATCTATACGCATTCTTACCCGCTTCTCGTTCTTCACCCGGCAGGGGTCAAGAAGATGGGCGAACTTCACTTAGCGGTTCGATTCACTTGCGTCTCGTTCGCGAACATGCTTTACGAGTACTCGAAACCATTACTTCCGAAAATGCATTACATCAGACCGTTCTCTGTCATGCAACAAGACATGCTTCGCCATCAGGCTGTCCATATTGTAGCAGCTCGGCTGGGGAGAGTGGCCATCCCGGTGGGCCCGGAGGAAGGGGAGGGCGTTTTGTGTTGGAAGATTTGAAGGAGTTTCTTGCGTAACACGCAATCAGTGTAATCGAAAGTACAAGAGCCAAGAATAGAAATGGCTTTTTCTGCTCGAATAAATCAAATATGTCAGTGGTGATCATATCGGTGTTCATGGTGAGAAAGTGGCCACAAGCTTATTATTTTCATGAACTACAAGGACAGATGAATAATTTTTTTTATAGAACTGAGCTCACGTGTGTTGCGTGATATGATATTTTTCTGTCAACTTGATAAACGAGAAGAGCGGAGCCTCCGCTTCGAAAAGAGGTTATTGAGTTCATGTCGGATACGGATTCGCATCTTTGGAGTATGAGGAAGAGCAAAGCCAACTTCTTTCGGCTGATGACCGTCTTCTCCGGGTTCCTCGCAGTCGGGAAGTGGTTTTCCGACATCTGCTCGTGGCGAAACCCGATCACGACCGTTCTTGTCCACGTCCTGTTCCTGATGCTTGTCTGTCTACCCGAACTGATTCTTCCCACGATGTTCCTATACATGTTCCTGATCGGACTGTGGAACTACCGGTTCAGGCCGAGATATCCGCCGCACATGAACACGAAGATCTCGCAGGCCGAAGCGGTTAACCCGGATGAACTGGACGAAGAGTTCGACACGTTTCCGACCACTCGGAGCCCAGATATGGTACGGATGAGGTACGACAGGCTAAGGAGCGTGGCGGGACGGATTCAGACTGTGATCGGGGATTTGGCGACACAAGGGGAGCGTATTCAGGCGCTGTTGAGCTGGCGTGATCCACGCGCGACCGCCATTTTCGTCATTTTCTGCTTCGTGTCAGCCATTGTTTTCTTCGTGACGCCGTTTCAAGTGGTCGTGGCTTTGGTCGGATTCTACGTCATGAGGCATCCGAGGTTTCGACACCGGTTACCCTCCGTCCCGGTCAACTTCTTCCGCAGGTTGCCAGCTCGTACGGACAGTATGCTTTAAAGTCCCTGGTCCTTGGGACTCGGTCGTTCGGACAAAATTTGAAAGACATATAGTAATAATACATGCGTTATATTTTGATTCTAAATTTTGAGTATACTTTTTTTTTAATGTTATTTCGTACGTTTATAATGTCTTTGTGTTTCTTTTGTTTAAAAATAAAACAGTCGTCCTTTTTTCATTATCAGAAGTGAAATGATTAACAGATTGAGGCCCACTGTGTGAAACCCAACGCGACGTAAAACAGAGTCCAAAATATCAGGCCCGTTCAAATTTCGATGACGTAATTTATGACGCAAGCGTACTATCACACGCCACGTGCCTGTTACGTGGCAGTTTTAAAATCTTCCACGTGGAAGTATAATATCCAGTCACAGTATACGGACCCCACAGCTCGACACGCCAAAAATATATGATTTTGACTGCAGAAACCCATTAGGTTTTTTTTTTTTTTTTTGCATAATTAAGGAACAAAGTAACGAATCTGCAATTTGCAAATGTTCGGTTCTTCGGTTCGGCTTCTCTATATAAGTGCCAATCGTCTCGTTCCAGTCTCGACGTCGTTATCGTCTTCGTTTTTGTCGAAGCGAATTCTGTCCGATTCTGGGAAACCCATCTCGATTGTTCCCCTAATTTGTTCTTCGCTTCGGTTCCCATCGATCAGAGCTAGGGTTTCTGGGTCTGTGTCGCCTTGTTCGAGGTTAGAGCATACGATGGCTGCTACTTCCGAGACCAAATCCGTCCATGATTTCACCGTCAAGGTTCGGTTTTTTCTCTGGGTTTTTGTCTGTGTGATTTGTTTGTTTCATTTCCTTGGCTAAAGTTTTCATTTTTTTGGTTATGGTTGTTTTAGCAGCATCGCGAAATTGCCTCTTTGGTTCTTGTTTCAGTGGCTTGGCTCTAATAGGATAACTTAGTTTTTGGACGTATGAATGATTGATTACATGTATGTAGACCTCGAAGAGATGCTCTGGATTCAAATGTGTACTATACAGAGATGAGTTTCTGGAATTTCGATTTCTTCTGTCGTATTTGTGAATTTTGCTGTGGAATGTACAAATTCTGGATTTTGTGATTTCTACCTTACTTTAGAATTGTTGATTCAACTATGAGCTTCAAGCTAAGAATTCTGTGATCTGACCATGGAGTTTGCCACTCTCCGTGTTTCAGGATGCGAAGGGAAATGACGTTGATCTGAGCGTCTACAAGGGGAAGGTCCTCTTGATTGTGAACGTCGCTTCACAGTGGTAAACACAATCTCACTTCTTGTCATGACTTCTCTTAGCTTGGTTATCTATAACCTTTTTATATTCGTCGTTTGATGACTTTCCTTTTGGTAATGGGAACTTCTGGTTTAGTGGCTTGACCAATTCGAATTACACCGAGCTTGCTCAGCTCTACGAGAAGTACAAAGACCATGGTATGGTTCTTTACTTCCATTTCCGTTCATCGCTTCTACCTTAATGATTTATTGGCTCGTGACGTTATCCAATGTCTCAGGGTTTGAGATTCTTGCCTTCCCTTGCAACCAGTTTGGCAACCAAGAGCCGGGAAGCAATGAAGAGATCCTTCAATTTGCCTGTACCCGATTTAAGGCCGAGTACCCGATATTCGATAAGGTAAACCCGAGTGATTCAGACCCTTCTTGGTGATTGACTTGAACCTGCTTGCGGATAGGGCAATAGATCTTTGTAAAGATTCTACATCAGAATCCATTTATCGTTCTTGGTTTCTTGTACTGAGATTTCTCGCTATACAGCATGAACTCTTCTCTGTCTGTTGCTATAATGTATCTTCTCGGTGATTGGCTTGAACTTTCTTGCGGATAGGGCATTAGATCTTTGTAAAGATTCTATATATCAGAATTCATTTATCGTTCTTGGTTTCTTGAACCGGGATTTCTCGCTTGACGGGATGATGCAGGTTGATGTGAATGGCCAAAATGCGGCACCGATCTACAAGTTCTTGAAATCTAGCAAAGGCGGGTTGTTCGGGGATGGCATCAAGTGGAACTTCGCTAAGTTCTTGGTCGACAAAGATGGAAAAGTCGTTGACCGTTATGCTCCCACCACTTCTCCTCTCAGCATTGAGGTAACAACCGTAATAACAGTTGAGACTTCAACCTTAGTAAAAAAATGAGACTTAATTGTTAAATCACATCGATTAATATTGCAGAAGGACATCAAGAAACTGCTTGGAGTTACTGCTGCTTGAGCTCTTTCACGGCATTAGCAGATGGGCCAGAGAGTACCCAATAAACGATGTTGCAGTATAATATACACTTTCATCTACCGTATGCGTTTCCATCTTTGGGCGTATATATACGGCACATATGCATATACTTTGCCCGTCTTCTATACGGGTGTATATGTACCCCGCTGTGCTGGCCCTGCCTTTTATATTACCATGTGTATGAATTCTCAAAGTGTTTATGGAATTCTGCAGTATCAAGGTACTTGGCTACAGGAGACTTTATACTATGTATTTGGCTGCATATATGTTCTTCACGTTTTGTGTTGAATCTGTGAACCTTTACCCTTTTAATATTGGAATTTTTGTTTCTTTATTCTTCATTATTTATCGTGGATCACTTGCACAATTACACCAGATCGAAGAGCAAATCAGACGAGACATGCTGCCAACAGATCAGTTCCGTAACCCAGGGTACATGTCCGGGGCCAAGCGAGGCTGGACACGAGCCATGAGAGGCGTAGCCATGAGCAAGTTCCGACCAGCCTGATTGAACTCGACCCGATCAGTGCCTGGAGGGAGGCTCCAGTCGAAACCCTGGAGGAGCCGTGCCAACAGCATGACCGTCATCGAGGTTCCGAGCCTGTATCCGACGCAGCCTCGTCGACCGGTGCTGAACGAGACGAACCTCATGTCTTGTTCCGCGAGAGATACCTCCACCGGGCCATTGTTGAGATGCCGTTCCGGTCTGAACGCGTCCGGTTCTTCCCATATCTTAGGGTTCCGACCCAGTCCCACTCGGCTCACAAGAACAATGCTACCTGTGACGTCATATATATATATATATATAAGTAACAGAATGATCAAATGAAGTGGAAGATCAAAAAGTGTTCCGATACGATTTCAACGAATTGAAAACAATGAAAAGAAGAGAGAGGATGGTGTTTTGTTCTACCTTTGGGGATGAAGTAACCGGCGAGAGTTGTATCCTCTCTGGCAACGTGAGGAACAAGAAAGGGAAAAGCTGGATGAAGTCTGAAAGATTCTCTGCTGCAAGCTTTCAAGTAGTTCAGATTCGATATGTCTGATTCTTGCACAAGTCTGTCTCTCCCGACCACTTCGTCCAGTTCTCCCACAGCCTTTTTCAGAATCTCCGGATTGTTTAACATCTCTGCGAAGGTCCATTCCACGTTGTTTATCGGATTATCGAGGGCCGCGACTTTGATATCCTGCGAGGAACACAGAAACAAGAGTCGATCTTAAGCTGTCACTTTCACATGAAACGATAACCTTAATAATAATATCATCATCGTCTTACCTTGCATTGAGCTTTGATCGCTTGAGGTGTAAACATCGGCTTTCCATCGCTGTTCTTCGAGGTGATTAGAACATCGAGCCAGTCCTCGACAACTTCCTTTCCGCCTTTCTTCCTCCACAGCTCGACCCTCTCGTCGATAACCAAATCGTTACATTTTGTAAGAACATCGGTCGCGTCTCTTACCGCCTTATCGTCTCCATCTACGTTCCAACCACGCAGCCAAGGAACGTAATCCGATATCGAGAAGTTGAAAAAACAGTCAAGCGCCTTGAATATGGCGTCCACGTGATCTTTCTCCATCGGGCCGAGACCGCCGTCTTCTGTCGCTTCCTTGAAATGCCTCCGACCGAACAGAAGTCTCATCTTCACGGAGTGACAGAAAGTTGTCGCGATTTCCCTCACGTTCACGACTTCCGACCGTTTGTGTAAGTTATGGACGTAAGCGAGGAGATTGTCGGCTTCCACTGTTCTTTCATGAACTGACTTGTTAAGGCTTTTCAATGACATTAACTCGGAAGTCATCACTCTCTTGAGCTTCTTCCACAGTTCGCCGCCGTAGTTAGCGAAACCCACGTCCTTGTATCCGTCGCCGATCAGCTCGGCCGAGTAGGATTCCTGCCTGTCGGCAAGAACCTCGTCTTTGTCCTTGAGGGCTTCACGCGCAATCTCGTCAGAGGTTATGGTGATGACGTGGGTGCTGACGAATCGGAAACATGCGATCTCGGTCTTCAACTCGGCCATGACTCGGTGGATCCACTCGTGGTTCGGCCGGTTCTTGATCATCCCGGCCAGGTTTCCGATGATTGGCCATCCCGGTGGGCCCGGAGGAAGGGGAGGGCGTTTTGTGTTGGAAGATTTGAAGGAGTTTCTTGCGTAACACGCAATCAGTGTAATCGAAAGTACAAGAGCCAAGAATAGAAATGGCTTTTTCTGCTCGAATAAATCAAATATGTCAGTGGTGATCATATCGGTGTTCATGGTGAGAAAGTGGCCACAAGCTTATTATTTTCATGAACTACAAGGACAGATGAATAATTTTTTTTATAGAACTGAGCTCACGTGTGTTGCGTGATATGATATTTTTCTGTCAACTTGATAAACGAGCTCGTGTGTAATATATGATATTATTTTAAGGATTATAATACTATCGTTGGTCTTTGTTTAAGGATTACTTTCGAATATTTCGCGTTGCTAATTAATAAACACCGACTTTGAAGTCAAACAAAAAAAGAATTATAATAAAAAAAAAGGTCAGACAAAAAAATGATTGCGAGGGGGTTCACGAGTATGATGCGGGTTTCAGGACTATAAGAACGGCGACAAATATGGAGACATGAACGAGGAGGTTTCAATACTCTTTATAAGACGAAATCTGAGTCATTGGCAAATTAAAAATGAACTTGATTTTTGGATCTAAACTGAAATATATGTCGGACCGAAACTGAGATGAATATTACTCTTGACCAAACCCTTTGTTTTTACAAAGAAATCCGTGAGAGATCTGGTTCAAGCTGAAAGCGATTTTCTCGGGAACCAAGCGGAGAGGGGAAGAAAAACCTGAGTTTGAAGATGCCGAAGAAGGGCAAAGGGAAGAGAAAGAATGCGACTCACCTCGGAGGCTTTTCATTGTTGTTTTCCAGTATTCCCTTTTTGCCCTCGAGAACCGTTATCTACCGTTGGATTGGAAGATATTTGGCGCCTCTATACGGTGTGCCATACCAATAAGAAACTGAAATTACATCTGAACCGGGCGTCGTATGATGAACCGAACTGGACATTATTCGTGAGGTTTGCTTCTGGTATGATTACGAGACTTGGCGCGTTACACATACACACACACATACATACATACATACATACATACATACAACGGTTGTTCACAACACGGAAATCGTTTAGGTTGTCGTTTTTGTTGTTGTGCTTCACTCCTTGAAATTTACAATGCAAATTCTGCCCGTAAAGAGTAAGGTCTAACCGCTAAGAGACACAATACATGGGACGGGAAAACAACAAGGAAAACAATTTCAAACCCCCACCCACATTACAACAAAAAAACGTTTTTATTTGGGAAACAGAAGAAAAACCACATTTTATTCAGACAGCAACTGAAAATTGCATCCCCCCAAAACTTTTGCGTTGCAAAGAGAGTTTTCGAACCTCGTCCCAATTCATGGTCGAGGCCGTAGCCCTTTGTTGCTTAGTACAGCAGTTCCTGGAACACGGGTTCTACGTTTTGTCCCCACTCTCCATGGTATAGCTCCAACAGCTTTTCCGCAGGTGTAACACCTGCGAGATTATTCGCAATAACCCCCCGTCATGAAAAATTACAGAAAATACAGCAACAACGTCACCTTAATCCCAAGTTTATTTGGGGACGGAAAAATGTTCTCTTCAAATAATAAAATCTGAATTCCCCACCAGTACAGAAAATGAGATTCTTGTGTACCTGTATTGACCACCTCGGCCACTGCGTTCAAGAAACCTGTTTCTTTATAACCTCTTCGCTCCAAGCCATCCTGAGCAAAAAGAAAGAAAGAAGAGACCGATATTGATGGCATTACAGTTAGGAATATGGCAAACGACCACTGGAGAGAGATGAAGCAGATTTACTATGAAAGCATACCCACCTTTGCCAGCTTTAGGACGTCTTCGGCCACATGCTTTAAACGACCGTCTCTAAACGGTGTCTTCAAGCCTGTTACTGGAACCTATTTTGAGATTTGATTTTTGGGTTAAAAGGTTAGTTATGTACAGAATAGGATCTTTGCCAAACCAACTACAGAGAGATAGGAGTAATTAGGTGACAATGGTTACCTTATTCCTCAGCATCTCCCTTTCTTCAGCAGTCCAATCAGCTGTTATATCAAGAACAGCCTGAAGAGATTCCTCATCGTACAATATGCCCACCTGAAATTTGAATAATGAGATTAAATAATGACCACTGTCGCCCAACTTATCATTGTTGATGGAACCAAAAGAATATTAAAAAGAGTTCATAAATGTATTAATTACCCAGAAAGCTGGTAAGGCACACAACCTTCTCCAGGGTCCTCCATCAGCACCTCTCATCTCCAAGTATCTCTTCAACCGGACCTAGTTTTACAGAACATATATCTTCAGGCTCAATATGAGACAGGAAACTCTACAATTCTTGGCTTATGGAATCTGGAGTCATATTGGTTAGATAACTAACCTCTGGGAATATTGTCGTCAAGTGATTTTCCCAATCATTAAGCGTAGGCAGTTCACCCGGGAGACGAGGAAGCTTCCCTACCATAAAGTCCTGTGCAATGATGAATGTTAAGATGATTGCTCAGATGAGGATTTAACAATATTTTTTTTTATTTTCCATAGAATAAAGAAAAGATATAACAAAAAGATCAAGGATAGATGTAAACCCGAAATGTTGATCCAGTACAGTCAATGTACTTCTTGTTTCGATAGACAAAATACATAGGAACATCAAGTGCATAGTCAACATACTGCTCAAACCTATACCGGATAGGAAAGAGGAAAGAAGAGTACAACAAAAATTAGTTACACTGACAATGACATAGATTTGAAAAATCTATATCTATATATACTAAAAATATAAATATACACATATATAGATAAACTGGCAGAATTGCAGATCATAAACTTCCCATAAGTAATAAAGCATGCTAAACAGAGACACTTCTTGATGACAAGCCTCTTTTTTACGGAAGTAGCCAACATCAGGTGATTGTTATTCTTAGACAAGCATTATGATACTCACCCAAAAGAGTCCTCAAAAACAAAAGGTAGCATTCCTGAGCGGTCTTTGTCGGTATCCGTCCAAATATGGCTGTCAACACGTATAGGAATCAAAATTTAAGTGAGAAACAATATATAAAGAAATGTGATGGAAAATAACAAGATGATTTAGAAACCTTCTCATGCTGAGAAACCCGTTTGGCTTTCCTTCAGTGAAAGGGGAATTTGCAAAGAGAGCTGTAGCGATCTGTTAAATTGAGTAATAGTGAGACAAATGCTAGTCATAACCATTAATACAAAGTTTCTGGTTACACCATTTCAAGCTACTCACTGGTTGCAAAGCGAGACCAGCACGGAACTTCCTGATCATATCAGCCTCCGAGTGGAAGTCCAGATTGACCTGTTATGTGTGTATGTAAGGCACTCTTTTAGAATCTCGGCATAAGAAAAGTAACCAGATAGTTACAAGATTCATTGACCTGAACAGTGCAAGTTCTGAGCATCATATCGAGTCCGAGTGAGCCCACTTTTGGCATGTAGTTTCTCATAATGTCATACCTTCCCTGCACAGAAAATATTACATCAGTTCCCACTGCCATAATCACCCCAACAAAAAGTATGATGGTACAGAAAACTTGTACGACCTTAAGCAACAAAAACAAAATGCACAGAACATTGGGTTTGTTGAGCCGAAGTGTCTTATCAGTATTATCAAAGAAATGAGGTATGTTTGAGGTGTTGTTCGAAGGGATAAAAGAAAGATTCAGTCTTAAAAATGAAGAAGGCCCATACCTTTGGCATAATGGGTATGTCCTCCCGTGCCCATTTAGGCTGGAAGCCGATTCCTAAGAAACCAATTCCCATTTCCTCTGCAACGGCTTTTACCTGTTAACATTGATAGAGAATTGACTGTTTGTGGCATTTCAAGGACAGGAGGAAAACGATACAAACTGTCATTTTAAGTTACCTGATAAAGGTGTGAATTGACCTCAGCACAAGTTTGATGCAAAGTCTCAAGTGGTGCCCCGCTAAGCTCAAATTGACCCCCAGGTTCCAGTGATATGCTTTGTTTTCCCTGATCAACAAAGAAGGGCAATGCGATACCTATTAAAAATTTCGAATGCGAAAAGGATTTCATCCTATATCACCATCCATCTCGTTGAATATTCAGGCAAATATATCCACAAGACCAAACATATAAATAAATGTTGCTTGAAGAGAACACACCAGGAGAACAGTAGTTACCTGTTTCAAACCTATGATTTTGTAGAAAAGATATAACAAAAAGATCAAGGATAGATGTAAACCCGAAATGTTGATCCAGTACAGTCAATGTACTTCTTGTTTCGATAGACAAAATACATAGGAACATCAAGTGCATAGTCAACATACTGCTCAAACCTATACCGGATAGGAAAGAGGAAAGAAGAGTACAACAAAAATTAGTTACACTGACAATGACATAGATTTGAAAAATCTATATCTATATATACTAAAAATATAAATATACACATATATAGATAAACTGGCAGAATTGCAGATCATAAACTTCCCATAAGTAATAAAGCATGCTAAACAGAGACACTTCTTGATGACAAGCCTCTTTTTTACGGAAGTAGCCAACATCAGGTGATTGTTATTCTTAGACAAGCATTATGATACTCACCCAAAAGAGTCCTCAAAAACAAAAGGTAGCATTCCTGAGCGGTCTTTGTCGGTATCCGTCCAAATATGGCTGTCAACACGTATAGGAATCAAAATTTAAGTGAGAAACAATATATAAAGAAATGTGATGGAAAATAACAAGATGATTTAGAAACCTTCTCATGCTGAGAAACCCGTTTGGCTTTCCTTCAGTGAAAGGGGAATTTGCAAAGAGAGCTGTAGCGATCTGTTAAATTGAGTAATAGTGAGACAAATGCTAGTCATAACCATTAATACAAAGTTTCTGGTTACACCATTTCAAGCTACTCACTGGTTGCAAAGCGAGACCAGCACGGAACTTCCTGATCATATCAGCCTCCGAGTGGAAGTCCAGATTGACCTGTTATGTGTGTATGTAAGGCACTCTTTTAGAATCTCGGCATAAGAAAAGTAACCAGATAGTTACAAGATTCATTGACCTGAACAGTGCAAGTTCTGAGCATCATATCGAGTCCGAGTGAGCCCACTTTTGGCATGTAGTTTCTCATAATGTCATACCTTCCCTGCACAGAAAATATTACATCAGTTCCCACTGCCATAATCACCCCAACAAAAAGTATGATGGTACAGAAAACTTGTACGACCTTAAGCAACAAAAACAAAATGCACAGAACATTGGGTTTGTTGAGCCGAAGTGTCTTATCAGTATTATCAAAGAAATGAGGTATGTTTGAGGTGTTGTTCGAAGGGATAAAAGAAAGATTCAGTCTTAAAAATGAAGAAGGCCCATACCTTTGGCATAATGGGTATGTCCTCCCGTGCCCATTTAGGCTGGAAGCCGATTCCTAAGAAACCAATTCCCATTTCCTCTGCAACGGCTTTTACCTGTTAACATTGATAGAGAATTGACTGTTTGTGGCATTTCAAGGACAGGAGGAAAACGATACAAACTGTCATTTTAAGTTACCTGATAAAGGTGTGAATTGACCTCAGCACAAGTTTGATGCAAAGTCTCAAGTGGTGCCCCGCTAAGCTCAAATTGACCCCCAGGTTCCAGTGATATGCTTTGTTTTCCCTGATCAACAAAGAAGGGCAATGCGATACCTATTAAAAATTTCGAATGCGAAAAGGATTTCATCCTATATCACCATCCATCTCGTTGAATATTCAGGCAAATATATCCACAAGACCAAACATATAAATAAATGTTGCTTGAAGAGAACACACCAGGAGAACAGTAGTTACCTGTTTCAAACCTATGATTTTGTCGTTTTCCAAAACTTTTTCCCAATCAAATCTCTCAGCAATACCATTTAGCAACTCAGCTATTTGTTCATACTTCATAGGACGAAAAGTATTGACCTCAAAACCAAATTTCTCGTGCTCTGTACCTATTCTGCGAAACTCATATCATCAAGTTAGCAAAAGTGGATACCGATCAAACGGATAAAAAAATCTTGATGAGTTTAAACAAACAGCCAAAACAGCACAACATAACCAAAAGAATTGGGCATATAATGGACATGGCACAACTAGTCCTCAGCCGAGCTGACACAATAGTATAGGAAAGAATGAAACTGCACCTCCAATTTTCCTTTGGTTTGCAGCCAGAGGCAAGATAGCCAATTAGATCCTCTTTGGTCAGTGGCTCGGTTGCAACTACGGCCTCTTCTGTCGGAGCACTTGCGGCCACAATCACTTGATGCCCTCTTTGGCTTCTTTTACCATTATTATGTGAATGGATAAGCATCTTTTTGGCGGATTTGTTGCTCGGACAGAAGCTAACATAAGTTTCCTTCATCTTTGACATCGCCTGGTTCTTCACAGCCCAAAAACCTGCCTTGTTTCCAGTCTTTGAGCACACAGCCCCTGAAGGGACACTGCATGTTCCTCCTGCCTGTGACACGAGCGCCATGGCCAAAGCCCTTCAACTATTATGACCTGCAAGCCACAAAATCAAAGTACCATCATAAATACATCGATTTTCAGCGAGACCAAGTCAGCATGAGATTCACTTGGACAATCGATCGCCATTCAATAGCATCATATCTTCGAACTACGTAAAATGATTCATACACCATGGTCCATCACGGCCATGAACTTACAACTAAAATTGGTCTCTAAAAAATTGGCACTGTATCTATCATAATCATTATCCGATTCTTGACAACTATAGACTCCATCCAAACGACAGATATTTCCTATCAGATTTCGTGAAACGATACAAAACCACGACAACAATCAAAGAAAGTTCCATTCAATCAGAGCCTCTGCACGTCACCTGCTTCGATCCGACAGCTTTCATACAATCAAATAATCTATAATGATCTTCCCAGTAAATTCCACGGAATTGACACATCAAATCAACGAATCACGTGTCCCATCAAACCAGAAGTAACAACGACCCCAAAACAAAGTGAAAAACTAATGAAATTAACAAAAAAAAAATTGAAACGTTCAGAAATCTATCGTAGGAAAACTGAAGATTCAATGAAACAGGGACATCACGAACCAACAAAAAATGTCGAAACGAAAACCTCGAAACGTCAGGAAAAAGAATTCGAACGTTCAGCAAGCGAAGATTCAAGAGAAAAGCATCGGGGCATCAGAAATCACGCACTGAAACAAGGATACGTTGATGAAGAATCACCTGAATTTCTTCGAATTCGTATTCAGAGACGATTAAACGCCTTTGGAGCCGGAGAAGAAGGAAAGGGAACGAGGCGAGGGCTTTAGCTAATCGGTAAGAGCACTTCCTTTTATACCGGAGCTCGGCAACAATAACAAGAAAAGTTGTTCTAAGCAAGAGTGGAGCGGAGCCGTCTCTGAAAGAAAGTGATAATGATTGCGAAAATATTCTTTAGCTTTGGGCCCCTTATTTCTCATTTATTCACAAATGTCACCTATTCTTTGTTTTAATCAATGTAACCCAAATAGATATTTATGTTACAATATATAATATGATCAATGTCACCCTCCTCTCATATATAATTTATTTATCAAGCCAATAATAGCGGATCCAAAATATTTTAAATCGATTTATCTTTGTTGAATTATAAAATCTTTTTTTTATACTAATTTTATTGAATCTTTTGAACTTCTTATTTATAAAATCCATTTATTTATTATGGACTTCAACAAATTAATTTTCAAGAATATTTTGTTCTAATGTAGATCGGATGTGGATAGTGAATCTCTTATCAATAATATTAGGACAGTCCAGATTCATTGAACATGTGAATCCAATTTTGATTAGTTTTTTTTTTTATTAATCCAGATCAATTCTTTTGATATAATAATGTTGAATACGGTGTATCTCTCCCTGTATATCCAAAATAAAACGAAGAATGCGGTTATCATAACCACATAATCATCAATAAAATATTAGCAAGCAAATGGTAAATGATGATAGAAAAATAATTTAATAATTTAATAATTCTTTTATAAATGTGGTAGTGTTTCAATTTGTCTTCCTTGGTAGGTGGAACCAACGGCCCATTTCTGGTCAGAGAATCAAAAAATGGATTAGGACATGACGAATTAGGATCAATCCTGAAACTGTGGTAATAAATTTTCCAAATAAAGAAGAAAAAGATTATGCAAGTTGTGACGATGATGTATAAAAAAACTTTTATTGAAACTTGAACTTCTATTCGTTTATTTTTATTTTGATTATTATATTAAATTTTGTTTTAAAAAGTTATTTGTTTCGATCATTTTTATATTAAATTTAATTGATTATTTCTATCAATTTGTTTTATTTAAATACGAATATATTACAATAACTCAAATTGTAATTGTGCACGGAATGTGCGTGTAATGGTTACATCCGTAGGTAGGTGGTCACGTGAATCAAATCTGGCGGCCACTACTTCCACTCGGGAGCCTGAGCCCAACCTACCCAAACCCAACCATTTTTCTCTGTCTTTTTCCTAATTTAAATATATTATTTTCTCTGAAATATTGCATATATTAAAAATAAATTAGCGGAAATGACGTGGCACTGATCGATTACGACGAAAGGCGGAGATCGGAGAGCCATCCAAATTCTTAAATAACGAAAAAAAATCGAAAACGACTCTTTCGATTCCAACTGCACGAAAAAAAGGCAACCAAATTGTCCAGAGACCCTTCACTTTACTTTCCATCGGTGTTAGACCCCTTAAATTTCTGAAAATCACAATCAACCCCCTAACTTTGATTGCATACCAATAAACCCCCTAAACTTTGATTGGCCCCGTTGGATAAGTCAATAACGCACTTGCGTCCAAACTAACAACATTCATAAGCCGACACGACGACGACAACAACAACAACAACAACAACAACAACAAAGTATCAATGATATACGTATACACCATAAACCAACCGTATACGTATACGTATACATATGTTTTCCCCGTTATCTATCTTGAATTATACACAAGGACCAATACTGAAACTACATTTGCCAGTATGAAATAACGGGGACAGGCCAAATCGATAAGACTGTACAAGTATGTTAACAGAGAACTTCACCAGAAGATATCATCAACGGCCATGGCCGACGAAGGCGGGACATGCTCGTCTTCCTCCTCCAGCTCAAGTTCCGGTTCCATTTCCCCGAATTCCGCTGATTCAATGTCTGCAAGATTCTTCAGGTCAACGACCGATAACTCATCGAGTCTTCTTACCACGAGATCAGCCGCCCCGAGTTCGTACATTGGATGTTTGCTTGCCACTGCCACGCATTTCATCCGCCCATCGTGAGCTGCCTCGATTGTTTGATTAGAGTTCCCAAACACGATGCAGCGTTCGGGTATGAATTCCAGAAGCTGAGAGGCGTAAAGGAACATCTCGGGGTCGGGTTTTCCCCGATGAACATCTTCTGCTGCAACTATCACACTGAAGTTCCCCTCTATGCCTATTGACCCGATTGCCTTCTCTAACGTCTTTCGGGGACGTGTGGAGACCAATGCCATTGGAATCTCATAACGGGTCAAAACGTTTACGAATTCTTGTGATCCGTCTCGTAGTCTATACATCTCTCCATGTAGAGCTTGAAAGATCTCTTCTTTCCTAGATGCCATCCTTCTAACCTGTGCGGGGTCTCTCGACCAACAGAGAACCTCTGAAATCGCTTGCTCGTTTTTCATCCCTTCTACACGTCTAAGGATAAAAGCTGGTGGAGGGGATTTTCCTTCTTCCTGAGCAAGAGTTAGCCATGCTTGCTTCTCGAGATCGGGATTTTCCTCTACTAACACACCTTCCCACTCGAATATCGCACCTAACCAACCACAACCCAGCCTTTCTTGCCTGAGTAATGGATTTTGCAACGAGGGTTTGTCAGCTTTGTTCTTGGGAGGCCATAACCCGGGTTTCCTATCAACACACGAATCGAGGTAATTCCATGTTCGTGTTACTCTCTCCTCGTCTTTAGAGGCAGGTATCTCTTTCGTCAGCTCCATGGCAAGAGCCCTAATAGGGAATACATATGCCCGGCTCTTTTTCACGCTCTGTATCGGATGAGTAAGAACCATCTTCCGACTGAAATCCACCTTCACCGGGAACTGGACCTTGTACTGAGGTTTCTGTGTTTTCGATACATTCTTAAGACAGACCCTCACAACTGAAGGACGATGCCCCAATAAAGATATCGTTCCGATTGCATCCGCCATGTTTACTGAATCAAGAAACCTCAAACCCGGAACAAACAGACACAAATCGTTGATTCAATCCACCAGCTCCTAACCAGTTAATGATAATCAAGCCACAGGCCAAACCCTAATTCAATCCAAAACCTAGCTTCAACCTGTGAAAAAGCTGCAGGGCCTTAATCAAAACGAATTCACCGACCGGAAAAGTACCAACCAGCTTTCGCACGGAGAGAAACCAAACCCTGTGAATACGAAACGATTACTGAACAATCAAAGCCTCCATATTCGTATCTGAGAACAAGCCAGTTAACCTAAAAGGCTTGGAAAACCTAAAACTTTACAAGTAAAAGGCCTTTAAACCTAGATTTCTCCGAGACCCAGATGACGAAACTTGTAAATCGATATATACACAAGAAACCCAGATCGAATCGGAACTATAACTGTTCAAAACGAGATCAAATCAGTTTAAATTTTTTGGGAACAAATACAGATACAGAGTTTTATATATATACAGAAAGAGCGATGGAGGGAGGGATTTCCGATTGAACCTGGAGAAGGAAACAACCGATCGATGAAGAAATCTCGAGGGCAAAAAGTATTAGATTCTCCTGGAAATGAAACTCTATGAATCTCTTAAATTCCGCTATTTTCTTCAAATTTTTGAAATATTTTTATTTCATATACGCAATATTCTTTTTCGTGGATTGTAATAATTCAGACAGAAGCCTTTAAATCTTCAGATATTTATCGTTTTCTTGATCCAACGGTCCGTGAATCCGCACGTGTCCGTCTAATCCTTCGCCGTCACGTTTACTTCGTCTCCAAGAGAACGCTCCTCGTTCTAAATTTACAATTTTGGGCCATCTTCGGCCCGTAAAGTTTACATTGTCTATTTAAATTCTGTTCTGTGATTAATAACAATAACAACAAGAATCTTATCTTATAATTTGACACGTGTCAGGCTCAAGGTATGAAATTCAGAATTAACGAACATGTTGCATTGGGAGATGCATCAATGAAACTGCAACACATGAAGAGAGCTCATGTCTTCAACGAGGCCCTAACTCGGTAATGGATGCACCATCAATAGAGCAAAGAATAGAGTTGTTTGCAGATTTATCCGTCCCCGGTCCGTTAGCCGCTCGGTCCGGAACTTGTCTACTTCCGAAGAAAAATCCCGGTTCCTGAGGCATCGGAAGACAGATCGAGAAATTCGTGAGCATCTGGTGGATGGTCGACAACGTTGGACGCTTAGCGGGATCTTCTTGAACGCATAATAGACCCAAATGTATGCATCTAATGGCTTCCTCCTTCGGGTAATTCTCTCCAATAATCGGGTCCACGAGTTCGAGCGGTGAGCCACTGCTCCACTGCCTCCAAGCCTAAACCGGGCGTTAAACGATTCGTATTCAAAAGGGTAATATTTTCGGAAAAAGGAGTTTGATGATCGACAATACTCACATATGTGACCAAGTTGTCGACGGTATCGTCCATTTGGTAGAAGTTGCTGTTCTTCTTGCCGCTTATGATCTCCAGAACTAAGACTCCAAAACTGTATACATCGGATTTCATGGAGAATTGACCATACATTGCATACTCTGGTGACATGTAACCGCTGAACCATATAGATAGATACCTCTTGAGTTTATAGAGAACGATCTTAGTTAACGCAAACCGCTGGTTATATGCCATTAAAGAACGGACTTACTAGGTTCCAACTACCCTTTTTGTGTTTGCTTCGGTTTGGTCCATCCCAAAAATCCTCGCCATTCCAAAGTCTGCAATTTTCGGGTTCATATCAGCGTCTATGAGAATGTTACTTGCTTTGAGGTCGCGGTGTATGATTGTGAGGCGTGAATCTTGATGGAGATAAAGGATTCCTCGAGTAATCCCTCCAATGATCTTGTACCGTGTGCGCCAATCCAACTGGCTTTGCCTTGTAGTGTCTGCATTCGTTAGCTTCAAAAAAAAATTTAAAGGATTGTTGTGCATTCAAGAAATTCAACCAAGGTACCGAGTGCAACAGACCAAAGAGAAAATAGTCGAGGCTTTTGTTGGGCACAAACTCGAAGACAAGTATCTTTTCTTCTCCTTCTGTGCAGAAACCGAGAAGCCTGACCAGATTTCTGTGCTGAAGCTTTGCAACAAGAACAACCTCGTTCTTGAACTCGTCTTCACCTTGGTTCGATGTCTTTGACAGCCTCTTCACTGCAACTTGTGTCCCGTTTGGTAACGTACCCTGCCAGTGTTATAAACCAGACAGTATGTCCCATATGTGAGTTAAATCTGCTATGAGAAGTAAGAAATCGTTCCTTTGAAGCCCTTATACCTTGAAAACTTCACCAAATCCACCTTGACCGAGCCTGTTGCTCTTTGAGAAATGATCTGTTGCGGCTTCAATTGTTCTAAAGTCGAACTGTAGTGAGCCTGAGGTCGTAATATCATCACCACCTGCAGAATGGAAATGAAGTGTTGTGCTTTATGGATAGGGAGGATCATAATAAGTGTTAATCAACGGATATCGTTACCGTCATCAGCAGTTGCTCTACCATAAGTCCCCCTTCCTCTATTTGCTAGGAAGCAATAACCAGCTATGGAAAGTGCAACTGCAACAGCAATCGGCACAACAACTGCGATGACTACCACAGAAGAATTCCTACCTTTCCCTTCATTCAAATCATATACAACAACGCATTAGTCCCAAGTTTTCCTTCGAATCATATACAACACGAAAATACAAAATCTCCAAAGAAAACCAGCCAAGATTCTATATGAAATGAGAAAATGAAGGAAGGAAACATAGTTCCTCTGACCTGGCGGTGGCGGAGGTGGGGGAGCTGACATCGGCGGTGGCGGCGGAGGAGTTGGAATCCGGCTTCCATTGGAGAATGGGTAAAGCTCGTACCTTGAGTAACAACTCGGAAGAAGAACTCTTCCCCCAAGCATACCACGAGGTAATTCATTTATGGATTTTCGCATACAGCTTTCACAATCCTGTCTTGTAAGATCAGGAGTGCACTGAACTAGAGTGTACAGCTTCTCCGACTTTGTAAACTCCACCTGCACCGTGGAGAACTTTCTGGAACTATTCAAGGCCTCATCAACAGCCTGTTCCATCGTTGAGAAGAGCAAATCGTTGAACCGGTCTCTTTGGCTAGCCGAAATGTTCTGGGTGTTCATCAAGATTATCCCACTGTCCGTTGCAGGGACCAAGAGAATGTTTCTGTCAGAGTACCTTAGAATACACTCGTCGTACCAGATCAACGCCTCTTTCTCATTCGGGCAGCGACGCAGAGTGTCGTTGGCGGCAAAGGCCACACAACCACGGCAGACTTCCGGTGAGATGTCTCCGCGGCAGAGGAATAGTCCGATGACCATGTCGGGGCTCTGCCCTGCAGGGATGTTCTGGAATCCGGTGGAGTAGTAGGTTACATCGTTGGACGAAAAAGTGGTCAAAAGGGTTTCGAGATTGGTGAAGTAGGAGTCGTTCCTTGTATAAGTTGTCGTGTTCGGACATATGTGGTATATGTATGTAGGATCTTGTCCACAGGCCCTGAAGCTTATGATGATCATGACGACGACGACCTTTATAAGAAACGACACAAAACTGGCGTTACCAGGCAGATTCAATTCCATAATTCTCTGCGTTTTCGGATGGCATGAACTCTGAGATGATCTTTCTCTTCACAAATTCTGAATCGATTCGTAAGTGAAGTCAAATCAAGTAAGTGGTCCCCAAAAGAACTTTCATAGAGATTTCAGATTATTAGTGAAGGGTTGACCCTTTTTTTTTCTTTGATTATGAAATGAATATTAATGATCAAATTCGGATTCCAGAACGCCACCGTGGACCGAACCACCGACAGGGCCACCGGACTTTTCCTCTGCCGTAGAGATCTCTCGCCGGAAGTCCGTCATCTTCACCGTGAAGGGCACTCTCAGTCGGCGTCCGAATGAAAAACAGGCATCGATCAGTTACGTTTGTCAGATAAAAAGTTGTCTTCTATCAGTTTTATGTCAGAAATATCATAAGTTGCAGAACAGTTACATGACGTGTATGTATATATGTGTGTGTGTTATATACTACCTGCAATAAGATACGTCTGCTCGTCGCTCATTACACCAAAATCTAAAAATGGAACCAACAGATAGACCGGAAACAAGTAACATGTAAGGAAAAAAAATGGATCTGGGTATGAGGAAATCATCATCATCATCATCCTCAACGAGGATCCAAATCGGTAATCGAATTGGCATCCACAGAACAAGAAATAGATGAACTCGGGCATGCTACTCCGTCTTCATCTCGGCTACTCTGGAAGAAAAATCCCGGTTTTCGGGGCACAGGTAGAGCGATTCTCTTTCTAGTGAGTATCAAGATGATTGTTGACAGTGTTGGGCGATCCACCGGATCTTCTTGAACACAGAGTAGGGCGATATTGATGCATCTGACGACTTCGTCACTCTCATAATTCCCGTCCAAGGTTCGATCCACGAGTTCCAGAGGCGATCCATTTCGCCAAAGCCTCCAAGCCTATGGCATGTATAAATATGCTATTTCGTTCAACAGAAAACACAGTATCATTCCGCAATAAGTAGTTCAAATCTTGATCGAAGCTCACTATACTCACATGTGTGACCAGATTCCGGCTTGTACCATCCGTTTCGTAGAAACTGTTATTCATCTTCCCGCTTACGATCTCCAAAAGTAAGACTCCAAAGCTATAAACATCGGATTTCACGGAGAATTGGCCGTGCATCGCGTACTCTGGAGGCATATATCCGCTGAAACATACAACAAACTTCCTTGAATATACCGAGGACAAGAGGTTTGTCAAGTTTCAGTTCGTAGGAATTCAAAGGGCAAAAGTGTATGTTTACTATGTTCCAGCTATCTTTTTTGTATGGGCTCGAGTTTGGTCCATCCCAAAAATCCTCGCCATGCCAAAATCCGCAATTTTTGGGTTCATGTCAGTGTCTAGGAGAACATTACCCGCTTTGAGGTCACGGTGTATGACCGTAAACCGTGAATCTTCATGGAGATAAAGAATTGCCCGAGCAATCCCTCCAATAATCTTGTACCGTTTCGCCCAGTCTAACTCAGCCTTCTTTCTCGGGTCTACACATCGATATATAGTTCATAGGCTACATGATTAACAATTGAGGTTCCGGGCACGGCGAAAGAATGATGACTAGAACTCTTCAAACATACCAAACAAGAAATGGTCGAGGCTTTTGTTGGGAACGAACTCGTAAACGAGTATCTTCTCTTCTCCTTCAACACAAAATCCAAGAAGCCTAACCAGATTTCTATGTTGAAGCTTTGCGACAAGTACGGCCTCGGTCTTGAACTCTTGTGCACCTTGTCTTGATGTTTTTGCCAACTTCTTCACTGCAACCTCTATTCCGTTTGGAAGCTCACCCTACAAATAGTATGATTCAAACTCTCAGTGACAAGTCATGTTGCTAAGGAAATAACAGATGAAGATTTGAAAGAAACTGTACCTTGTAAACCTCTCCGAATCCCCCTCGACCGATCATGTTTCTCCCCGAGAAATTATCTGTCGCAGCTTCAATTGTCTTGAAATCGAACTGCAGAGACGGTAGATTCATGACATCGTCACCACCTGCGAGTGAAAGCGGATTATTACCCCGAAGAATCCAACGGAAAAGAAGGCGAAAAGGAAATGGCGGAACAACGCAGCAACACACTTTGAATATCAGCTGCTTGATGAGATTTTCTCCTGCAGTAAACAGCAAATCCTAGAGCAACCAATATCGAGACGGCAATGACAGTCGGAACGACGACGATCCAAACTATAGATCGATTTGACATGGTTTCGCCTCCTGCACCAAGCACAAATCCAGTTCACGCCCTTTCTTCGCAATCATAGTTTGCAGCTAAAGGACTCACCTTTCTTCGTCGTGTTGGCCACAATGCCTGGTGAAGGTGTAAGAGAAGGCGTCGGAGGGGCCAACGAGATATTCTGAAAAGCTCCAAAGAACGGATGCAAACCCCACCGGAAATAGCAGCTTGGCTTTCCAACTATGGCTCCTTGATCCCCGTAGCAGCATGTCCGAAAGTCATCGACGCTTTTTCGCAGGCAGGCACGACAATTTCCTGGAGATATATCAGGAGTACATAGCATTAATGTATATATATATTCGAAGGGTTTGAAGGCGGCTACATCAGCCGCATAATAGTTCTCATCCGAGGAAGCTGCAGCTATCGCACGTAGTGTTAGTTCCTCCCAAACGGAATCCACCTCCGTTAAATTCTTTCCAAAATCCCGAAAGTACAGTACACGACTAGGCTCCAAGTCAAGGGATCCGAAAAACGAGCGGTTAGAGTAGCGTATGAGACAAAGGGCCGGATAGTATGGCCACAAAAAGGCTTCTGTTTGGTTTGGGCATTTGCTTAGTATCTCATCGGAGGCCGCCTTGAGACAACCAGAACAATCTTCTGCTTCAGAGTGTCGGATGCACTTCCCGACCACATATACTCTATCGGGTCCGTGGCCAACCGACGTGTTATAGAAGCCGGCTTGAGGAGTGACATTGTACGGAAGATAAGACAGACCAAGACGACGATTCCTGTCGTAAGGGCTGTTCGGCCTAAAAGAACCTGCAGTGTCTGAACACACTTCTTCAGAAGAAACACCAAAGGGTATGAGGTGGAAGAGCAAGATCAGAAGGCAAAAAATCTTAGATTCCATCATCAAATATTATACAAACAAAGTATATGATATATGAATTAACTATTCCAAAGCTTACAAGTTTAATGGCGACAGAAATTTCTCAGAAAATTGCAGCGGGTGAAGGTGTGGATGGAGATGACCCATCAGACATTATCAACCTATGCTGAGTGAGTGCGTGAAAAGTCAAAAGTCTTTAAGTCATCGTCAATGAATACAGACAACTTGGGGATCTGAACTGGTCCCAAGATTTCCACTCAGTCTACTCCTCAGATTTACAGGAAATCAAACCAAAAAAAAAAAAAAAACAAAAACAAAGAGGACCACGAGGTGTCTGGAAAATGAAAGTATAAGCAACAGAACAATGTCTACGCAAATCATTTAGCAAGATAAAATCTTAAGAGCTGCAATTGAAAACCAAAATTTCCATGAACTCTCGTACACGACAATTCTAAATCTACAACCATAAAGAAAAACCCGAAATAGGAATGATAAACAACACGAAACTACTCAGTTTGATCTGCCAAAAAAGAGCTTATGCATGCTGGTAATGGTGCAGTTTGTACAGCAAAACTTTCCCGGCAGCATTACCCACTGCCATGAAACCACCTCCGGGACTGAAATCCAGACAGCGAGGGTAATGAAGCGAAGAGTTTGGAGGCGGCCAGTTTGAGAACACTGTTAGAGATGGAACATGAACCAACTTCATACTGTTTCTCTTCATCGTCGAGACGATAGCTAGAATTTGAGCATCATGGTTGAACTTGAGGAAATCTATTTTCGTGGAGAGATTCTCCACTGTCTTTATCGGCTTTGTCTTGCCTCCCAGAAACTCCAACCTCTTGTAAATGTTCACGACCCCGGGGTCTGAACCTGAGGCAAAGAAATCACCATTTGGAGAAGTGTCGAGACAACTGCCACAAATGCTGCCTTCATCAACAGCTTTGTGGAAGCATTTCATCGTTCGTAGATCCCAGTGATAGATTTCGCCATCACCTCCTGAGCTAACCAACTCTTTTCCATCGCCCGTGAAAGCTAAAGACCGTACCGAACCGTTCATCTTTAGGGTTCCGATAAGCTCTTTTGTTTTCGAGGACACAAGTAAGATAAAACCATCGTTGCCCATGAAAGCTATGGTGTTAGAGTCCGGTGAGACCTCAAAACTTTCCAGGCTTTTCTCCTCTCTACCAACCAAAGGCCCAATTTTGTCAAATTTCGCTTTCACCAGATCAAAGCTATAAAAGAACTTTCTTCTTCCGGAGACAATGACCTGAGAACCATTGGGCAAGAAGGCCGCCTTGCGAATGGGACAATCCTCGAGAAAAATACTCTGGATCTTGGTGTTCCTTTTACCGTCGATCTGGAAAAAACTTAACCGTCGATCCAATCCAGCAGTGAGAAGAAGCTGGGCATTTTGATGGAACTGGACAGAGTTTATCGGACCGTTCGAAGGATCTGCATAGTTTGCATCCACCAGTTTTGAGTACTCGAGAACTCCAGGTAAGAGTCTGGCACCATTCTTCACCACGAGTTCTCCATTTGTTCGGAGAACATCATCAACTCCTTTGTGAGCACCATCTTCATCATCCGATGACTCGTCATCTGAAACAGTTCCGTCGGTCAAATCACCCGTAGTAGCCCAATCTGTTCCAGGGTTTAACTTAGCATGATGAGCCCTCAATCTCGAAACGTACTCTGAAGCAGAAATCAAGCCCTCGTTTTCTTCTTTCCTCAGCTTCCTCAGACGGTTAACTTTAGCTATATCTATGTTTATTTGTTCCTCTTCTTCATCCACCCATGCAGCTTTCTTCTGTTGATCTCCCTTCTGTCGAACTTTATCATCACCATAATCTTCTTCTTCATCCTCATCCTCATAGTCGGATGGTTTCCTAAAAGCAGAACTGTCTAAGGAAAACAAAGCTGAATCATCGGCACAGTCATGAAAACCGTTTCCACCATCATCCTTCCCAAACTCGACAGGGGAGTAAAGGGATCCAAACAATAAATTCTCGAGCTTATTCATTTCACGCTGTTCAGATTCTCTTTGCTTCTCCTTTTCTTTCTTTCTCCTCTTTGCCCTCGAGTCATCATTGATCTCGATTCCTTTTCCATCCTGGGTATCTCTGTCGAGCTCATCATGGTCCTCCCTTTTACCCTTGCCCGTTGTACTTGTAAGGACATTCTGAGATAACAAGCTCATCCTGACAAATTCCACAGCTGCAACAAAACAATATCTTTTAAGATAGATAACCACAAACATCGGAGCAAAACAACAATGTTGAAATCGATTCAAAATACTCAATTTGTCTACAATCGAATTCACTACTACAACCCTTTCCATATGTTCTACCAAAAAAAGCAATACATTTTCCCCCGACAATTGCTTATCTACAAATCCCAAAACAAAAGCCCTAAATCTCTGGTGGTTCAAGAGGGAGGGGCGAGGCGTTGGAGAAACACACAGAGGCCCTCGGCTAGAGCATTCGACTAGCCGGAGGCTCCGGCAGTGCTGAAGTTTCTCAGTTGTTCGGGGAGAAGAGAGAGAGAATCAGACATACCTGGGATTCTCGGCGAAGGTGACGAGACGACCACTGTAAGAACACTTTCGGCCGCTCCAAAGCATGAAGAAACCTAGAACTAGAACGCGGTCTTAATCCATAAATCTCTTCTTAAATGGGCTTCAATGGGCCCATACACGATTTTTTTCGTTTGGGTTCTCCTAAATGGGCTTGAATGGGCCCTCTCATATTTAGTTTACGTATTTCATAATTATTAAATTTCAGTCGATTTAATCTCCGCCTTTGAAAACAATTTTAAAAGAAAAAAAACGTAACCCTAATCGAAAAGGTAAGTCTCATTAAAAAAAAAAAAAAAATTGGTTATGTTGCAGTAGTATATGACATCGCCGGTGGACACTGTTTACAAATTGGTGAATTAATTTGTTAAGTAAAAAATTTAAGAATTTGTTTTCCACCATTTGACAGGTTTGTGAAGTTTTTAATGGCATTTGCCCTTAAAATTTTAGATATTAAGTCGGTTTAATATCCCTAAAGAACTGATAATCTTCAGTACAAGCAACATGCTCGCGTCTCATACCAGACGTGTGCGGACATCAAGACACCGAACAAGATGAATGGTTCGGTACACAAGGAGAAGGACATATTCAACGAGGATAAAGATCAGTGAAGGATGAATCATCGACCGAACAAGGAACAGACTTGCTTGTACTAGACTCTGAAACTGAACTCAGATCTTGTCCACTTTGCAAGAAAAAGCCAGGTGGGTGAGGCACCGGAAGTGTGATTGTGTTGCTTGTGAGCATCAGCATGATCATTGGCAACGTTGGTCGATCCGTCGGATTCTCCTGAACACATAGCAGACCGATGTGGATGCATCTAATTGCTTCATCTCTCTGATAATTCTCCCCGAGGGTCGGATCTACAAGCTCTAATGGAGACCCGTTTCTCCATACCCTCCAAGCCTGCCATAGAGAGAGATCAAACAGTTAGTTATTCAATACTCTTAACCTCTGTTCACTTGCTCAGTTCTCCACACTCACTCTTGTTACTAAATTTTCGGCCGCGTCCTCTGTCCCATTGAAACTGCTGTTCTTCTTGCCGCTTATAATCTCCAGAACTAGGACACCAAAGCTGTAGACATCAGATTTCATGGAGAATCGGCCATGCATCGCATACTCGGGAGATATGTAGCCGCTGAAACATAAAGCTAACTTTCAGTTTTCAGGCAACAAAAGGCAAAGACAAATGCAGTTTGTTGACAAAAGAAAGGAAAGATTTACTATGTCCCGACGATTCTTCCTGTATTGGCTTGAGTTTGGTCCACTCCAAATATCCTCGCCATTCCGAAATCTGCAATCTTCGGGTTCATGTCAGCATCTAATAGAATGTTACTCGCTTTGAGATCACGGTGTATGATTGTGAGCCGTGAATCTTGATGAAGATACAGAATTCCTCGAGCAATCCCTTCAATAATCCTGTACCGTATCGTCCAGTCTAGTAGTCCTTGCTTCGCAGCATCTGCATTCACATCCATACGTTGACCATTATTAGCTACCAGATTCACAATCCAGGTTTCAAGATTACCGAAAAGCAACATACCAAACAGGAAGTAATCCAGGCTTTTGTTGGGTACAAACTCATAGACGAGCAATTTTTCTTCCCCTTCAACACAAAACCCGAGAAGCCTAACCAAGTTTCTATGCTGAAGTTTTGCTACGAGAACAGCCTCATTCTTAAACTCTCTTGCACCTTGGCTTGAAGTTTTCGACAGCCTCTTCACTGCAACTTGGGTTCCATTCGGAAGCGTACCCTACAAAATATGACGGATCCGCTTATTCGATTGTGTTGTTGATTCAATTTTTGTAGAGGAAAAGATCAAGCAGCCAAAGAAGTTGTGCCTTGTAAACTTCACCAAATCCACCTTCACCTAGCTTGTTACTCTCTGAAAATCTGTTTGTTGCTGCTTCGATAGTCTTCACGTCCAATTGTAGCAAGTGGGTAGTTGAAATATCACCTTCAGCTGCAGATTAAAAGCATTGCTTACCAGTGGAACCTTAATCATAACCATTATCTGAATAGTCTTCCTTAAAAGGGAGATGCTCACTTTCAAGTTCAATTGCTCTGTGTGATTTTCTCCTCCAACATACAGCAAACCCCAAAGCAAGCAACACCAAGATGACAATAACAGTGGGAACAACAGTTGCAACTATAGTTCCCGTTGAAGTCGTTTTATCATCTGCATAAACACGATTTATCAAAAATTACGTCAAAATTTTCCACAACGTTTCTTTAACCGTCATAGTTCTGCAGTCGGAGGGCTAACCTTTCTTGGTTGTGTTGGCGTTAAACCTTGGAGAAGGAGGCGGAGATGGTAGAGAAGGTGGTGGAGGGGATGCTGATGTAATGTTTTCGAAGGCTTTGGAATATGGATACAGATCCCATCGGAAATAGCAGCTCGGTCTTGAAACAACGCCGCCTTGCTTTCCACGGCAGCATGACTCATAGTCACCGACATTTCGCCTTAGACAAGCGTTACAATCTCCCGGAGATAGATATGGAATGCATTGCATTAGTGCGTATATGGTCTGAAAACCCGTTAGGTCTTCTACTTCAGCCGAGTAGTAGTTACCCTTAGACGGGGAGGAAGCTGCGGCAATCATTCGAGTTGCTAAATCCTCCCATATTCTATCAAACTCGGTTAAATTTAATCTGAGATCTCCAGTATTGAACAGCCTAACAGTCGGCTCCAAATCGAGGGATCCAAGGAATGAACGGTTGGAATAGCGTAAGAGACAAAGCGTCGGTTCTCCAGACCATGAATAGGCTTGTGTCTGGTTAGGACAGTTGCTTAGTACTCGATCGATTTCTGTCTGGATGCATTTGGAACAATCCTCGGCCTTAGCCTCTGGGATGCACATCCCCAAGGCATGAACTCTATCGGGTTCTTGCCCAACCGAAGCGTTGTAGAATCCTCCTTGAGCTGTGACATTAAAGGGAAGATACGACAGGACAAGGCGACGGTTTACGTCGTAAGTACCGTTTGGTCTGAAAGACCCGGCATCGTTCGGACACGATAGCTGTGCAGAAACAACACCAAAGCTCAAGAGGGCAAACCAGAAGGTTGGCAACAATGAACTCTTCTGTGCCATTTTGGACATCAGACCAATGGTTGAGTTAGAATCACAAGCGGGGAGGGAGATGAACATATGTCTATACAGTATCTGCGTATCTGTTACGTATCTTGTAGGTTTAATGGGAATTGAAATTTCCCTGCAACTTTCCGTGGCCAGAGAGGTTTCAAGGTGAGGTGACCCATCAGTCGTCATCCACTCCTCAAATGAATTTTCTACGTCGACTTTGTCAAAAAAATTAATAAATAAGAAATTTCCAAGAGCATAAGCATTGATCGACTCAAAGTCAACCATGACCTTGTAATTTCTCCAAGAAAATTATTACCAACTGGTCTGAACTGGTCTGAAGATTTAATTGGTCCACATGAGAATCATAGGATATAAACCGGTTTGGTTAATGCACCAACGGTTTAGAATATAAACCGATTTGGCTTGCACAAATCAACCGGTTTGTGAATGCAACGATTCCATAATTTTCCGGTTTATTCATATGAATTTATTTTATTGATCACAAAATTTTAACCAGAAAGAGTTCCCCCAACGGTAAAATAACAGAAGTTTAACGGTCAACGGTCTCCCGAAGAAAAAATAGTTTAATTCATCAAAAACACAAGGAGAATGTAATGTTCAACGAGGATCTAAAAAAGTGATGGATCCATCATCAATGGAACCAGGAATAGATAGACCAGACACCAAGCCCTCGGCTTCTGCCTCTCGATCGCGTCTACTTTGCAAGAAAAATCCCGGTCGATGTGGAACGGGTAAACCGATTGTGTTACAAGTGAGCATCATTATGATTGCCGACATAGTTGGACGATGCGTAGGATCATTCTGAACGCAAAGTAACGCGATATGGATGCATCTGGTAACTTCGTCAGTATGATAAATCTCTCCAAATGCAGGATCCACGAGTTCTAAGAGTGACCCATCTCTCCAAAGTCTCCAAACCTAACATTGGAATAAATCAATCGATATTCATATAACCCGTATATATCAACGTTATAAGAGATCAAAATATCGAAACTTGGTTATATATGGTTACATGTGTGACCAAATTGCCCGGAGTATCTTCCGTTCCATAGAAGCTGCTATTCACTTTGCCATTAATAATCTCCAGAGCCAAAACTCCGAAGCTATAGACATCAGATTTTTGGGAGAAATGACCGTGCATTGCGTACTCTGGAGACATATAACCGCTGGAAAATAGAACAAAGTAACGAGTGAAATAGTAGCAAAGGGGTTTATCAAACTTAGGTCACATAGGAAAAGGCAAAATCACTCACTAGGTTCCAACTATTCGACTTGTTTCAGCTCGGCTTTGGTCCACTCCCAAGATCCTCGCCATGCCAAAATCTGCGATTTTGGGGCTTAGATCCGCGTCCAGGAGAATGTTGCTTGCTTTGAGATCACGATGTATGACTGTGAGTCTTGAATCTTGATGAAGATATAGAATTCCTTTAGCAATCTCTCTGATGATCTTGTACCGTTTTGCCCAATCCAAATGATCTCGTCTCGAAGGGTCTGCATATCACTAGCCCGAGTTTTGACAACGGCTAGGGAATGATCATGTACAACAATTCAAACATATGTATCACGTGAGCTGAGTTCAACTTACCGAACAGAAAAGAATCGAGGCTTTTGTTGGGTACAAACTCGTAGACAAGTATCCTTTCTTCTTTTTCCAAGCAAAACCCGAGAAGTCTAACAAGATTTCTATGTTGAAGCTTTGCTACAAAAACAACCTCGTTCTTGAACTCACGTGAACCTTGTCTTGAGTTCTTGGCCAGCCTCTTCACCGCAACTTCTGTCCCGTCTGGAAGCATACCCTATAAAGTCAATTTAATCTCATCACACTGTCCGTCTGAATATATATGTTGATGCAAACTCTCAACATACATAAAAACTCATGCTATAATGAAACTATACCAGTGTACCTTGTAAACTTTACCAAATCCACCTTGACCGATCTTGTTGCTGTCCGAAAATCTATTTGTTGCAGCTTCAATTGTCTTGAAATCAAATTGCAGCGAGTGTCTAGATGCGATATCATCACCACCTGACGGTTGAAACACCCGGTGAAAGGGTGTATGTGAGAAAAGACATAACCGTAGGATATAACCATTGTACCGGTTGTGTCTCTTGCATAAACACCGCTTGAATCCTATAAAAGTATAGGTTCTATATGACAAATGAAGATGCAGAAAACATCATAAAAGAAAACGTGAATCAGTTTTGGTGAGTAGCATTTGGGTTGTGAATCTGCGATTCCGACTCTGGTAGCCGGTTTCCGACCATCGTCCAGAGTATTTGAAGACTGTGATTTCAACCAAAGAAAAGATCGACTGAATCGGTACACGACTATCCTTCCGTTTTCTTACATTGGTATCAGAGCATCAATGGTTGATTTTCTGTCTTCGGTGGTTCTGTGTTTCTGCCTCTATTCTCTGTATTCGTTCGTTCTGTGTGTCTCGATTCTCATCTTCCTGTCTTCGAGAAAATTGTGAATCTCGTCGGATTATGATGAGGATCCGACAGTCACGGCTCTCTTTCGCAATATTCATCGGTTTTTTTTCGGTGACTACTGGTGATTTGCAATGGCGATTGAGAGGCAGAGAGCAAACATAAGAGACACGAAAGAGAAAGAGGAAGGCACCGTTTTTTTTGGAAACCCTAAATTTTTTCCAATTTTTCCAAGTTGGGCCAGCGCTAATGTTCATAAGATTAATTGTTCCCATTTTTTTTAAATACTATAATGGGCCGTCATTTTTTTTAATGGGCTGCATGTTTCATTTTTTTTTGAAAGTTTGCACTCAGACGTATGCACGTACATTTAGAAGTGTAATATGTGCATAATATATGTATAAATATATAATAGATAAAAAAAAGGTTAAATAAAATAAAAGTATGCGTGTTTGAGTGACACATGTATATACGGCTAGCATGCACAGTATGCCTTTGAATAAACTTAGTACATGTGTCGTAATTTTTTTTGCGTACTTGGTTTAATGCATCAGTTTTGAGATTTGGAACATGTATGACATGCATGAGTTTGAATGAATCAATTAGCAAATATACAGTTTTTTTAAGAAAATAATACTGTAATATGATGTTTATTCGTATTGATAGTTATTTCTTCAATACTTCGTCTCGATTATTCGCATCGTGAACATTACCGAACCGTGGAAAAATTTAGGTTTGTAGATGAAGTTCTTGCCTAAATTAAAATTTCGGTCATTTTGAATTAATTGATGGTGATTAATAATGGGAGATGATTGAGTGTTTAACATTTTTTTCGATTCCATGTAGATGTTTGGTCATTATTAATTAGTTAAAGATTGATCAGAAATGAGTTTATACTAGTGGTTAATTTCTGTGCACTTGTCTCTGTGTAGTGTGTGATGGCTACAAGTAAGACCATAATTGCTGACCTCAATCAAGGAGACAAACTGAATGATAAGAATTACGATGTTTGGCATCGAAAAATTCAGTATCTCCTTGAGGAGCAAGATTTGCTGGAGCACATCACAACTCAAATGGCAGAACCTCAAATAGTAGAGACTGGGGAAGGAGCCACTGAGCAGCATACTCGTGACCAAGCGGCCTATAAGACTTGGAAACGACAAGATCGTGTCGCTCGCATAGTGTTGCTGAGCAGTATGCGAAATGACATAATGCTGCGTTTTGAGAAGCACCGTTCAGCCATGGCGGTATGGGATGCCGTCAAGATTCAATATGGTGGGACCTCCACTACTAGATTGCGCCAACTCACTATGAAGTTCGATGTTTATAAGAAACGTCATGATCATTCGATGAAGCAACATCTTACGGCAATGTCGAACATGATCAATGAGTTGCGAGCTGCGGGTCATGCGTTGACCGATGAGCAACAAGTGCAGGCTGTTATTCGCTCACTTCCTAGTTCGTGGGAACATATGCGAGTAAACCTCACTCATAATGATGGTATCAAAACCTTTGATGATGTTGCTCGTCATGTTGAGCTCGAAGAAGACCGTCTCATGGCCGAAACGGCAGGAGAGGCCTATATGATGGAATCCGGTGCTCGAAAGACATCGGGTTTCAAGCGCAAAAAGAAAGGAGGAGCGTTCAACCATAAGGGGTTTGCTTCATCAAAGGGGAATCCAAAGCGCAAGAAAATAAAGCGCGGAGGAAACAAAGACAAGACGAACATGACTTGTTACAACTGTCGCCAGTTGGGTCATTTTGCTAGAGAGTGTACTCAAGCAAAGGTTCGTACCGAACTATCTAAATCCTCTCGTTTGTTTGTTAGTAGTTGTGTAATGTTGGTTGAATCTGTTCCTTTGTGGACTGTAGACTCAGCAGCAACAGACCACATAACGAGAGATCGGGGCACTTACGTAGAGTTTCGTCGGATTCCATCGGAAAGCAGACGAATATATATGGGGAACAATTCAAGTGCAGAAGTCCTTGGCATCGGAACTTGCATGTTGAGAATGCGAGGCGGACGCATATTGTATCTCCATGATGTTTTATATGCTCCAGAAGTTCGACGAAATCTTGTCTCTGTATTGGTCCTTCTAAGTCTAGGTTTCAAGTTTGAGTTTGTTGATATAAGTGTTAAATTGTATTTGGGAACTACATATTATGGGTGTGGTTATTTATGTAATGGTTTTATGGTATTAGACATTGATTCTTCTAATAATAATGCGATTCATTCTTCATATTTTTCTTCTTCTTCTAGTATTGATGAAAATGTTGATTTCATCAAGTGGCATGCTAGACTAGGGCATATAGGGCAAGAAAGAATGAACCGATTAGCTAGAGAAGGTTTCTTAGGCCGGATCGCTAAAACGGAAATGCCCGTCTGCGAGCATTGTCTAGCTGGAAAGGCCACAAGAAAGCCTTTTGGAATTGGTAAAAGGGCTACCACACCTTTAGAGCTTATCCATTCTGACATTTGTGGACCAATGAATGTGAGGGCAAGACATGGTGCCTTATATTTCATCACTTTTATCGATGATTTTTCGCGTTATGGTATTGTATACCTGATTCGCCATAAATCTGAAGCGTTAGATTGCTTTATCAAATTTATGAAGATGGCAGAGAATCAACTCGGTAAGAGCATTAAGGCTCTTCGGACCGATAGAGGACGCGAATATTTATCGAGTCAATTCAAAGAACTGTGTGATGAAAAAGGCATAATGAGACAGTTGACTATTCCTAGAACTCCGCAACAAAATGGTGTTGCAGAACGAAGGAATAGAACTTTGCTTGACATGGTAAGATCGATGATGTCTCAAGCAAATATTTCTATCTCCTATTGGGGTGACGCTTTGTTGACAGCAACGTATATCTTAAATCGGGTCCCCTCAAAGTCTGTACCTTCCACACCCTATGAGTTATGGACAGGTAGAAAACCTGAGTTAAGTAATTTACGACCATGGGGATCAGCTGCCTATATACACATCACGTCCCATAAGTTTGGGAAGTTGGGTCCTAGAGGGAAAAAGTGTATCTTTATCAGATATTCTGATCTCTCGAAAGGCTATGTGTTTATAGGTGAAAATGCTGATGGAAGTGTAACAGAAATTGAGTCTCGAGATGCTACATTCCTAGAGGATGAGTTTCCTCAACGAATAGAGGTCTCAGAAGACTCGCGGTTTTATGAACTTGAAAGTCCTCTGAGTGAGTCATCACTTCAATCGGTTGAGGAAAAGGAGGAGAACACTATACCTCTCGAGATTAGTGGGAGTGATGTTCCAGCTGAATCTAGTCCTAAAGAGATAGATCGAGTTAAATATAATCCTATGGAAATGGATTCAGTTGTACCTCAACCACGACGAAGTGATCGTGGTCAGATTCCTAAACGTCGATTTGAAATCGAAGGGGAATCATTTATGGTAGCATCACTAGATGGCGAAGAACCTACAACGGTTCATGAGGCTCTGAATGGTCCAGCGTCTAAAGAATGGATGAAAGCTATGGAAGAAGAAATGGAGTCTATGAAAGATAACCATGTCTGGGACTTGGTTGATCTACCGCCAGGACGTAAGACGATTGGGAACAAATGGGTTCTCAAAGTCAAATACAAGGCGGATGGATCCATTGAAAGATATAAGGCTCGTCTTGTAGCTAAGGGCTACACGCAGAAAGAAGGGGTCGATTATGAAGAAACGTTTTCACCAGTGGTGAGGTTTGCTTCTATTCGACTCATTTTGGCCATTGTCGCATATATGGACTTAGAATTACATCAAATGGATGTTAAAACTGCATTTCTCAATGGAGATTTAGATGCAGAAATATATATGGATCAGCCGGTTGGCTTTGAAGTCATAGGCCAAGAGCAAAAAGTTTGTAAGCTCAAACGGTCTATTTATGGCTTAAAGCAGGCGTCCAGACAATGGAATCTCAAATTCCACCAAGAAATTCTATTAGATGGATTTGTGATGATGGAAGAGGACCATTGCGTATATGTGAAAAAGTCCAATGGAAGTTTTGTGATACTCTCATTGTATGTGGATGATATTCTGTTGGCCGGAAACAGTAGGGAGCTAATTGACGCCACAAAAAGATGGTTATCATCTAAATTCCAGATGAAAGATTTGGGTGAAGCTAATTACGTGCTCGGTGTTAAAATTATTAGAGATCGTTCGAAGAGACTTCTTTGTTTGTCTCAAGAGACTTACATTAAGAAGATACTTGAACGTTTCCGAATGCACGATTGCAAACCCATAGAAACTCCCGTTGAGAAAAATGCGAGCTTAAGTCTTGATATGGGTCCTAAGACTCGAGATGAAATGGAGAAAATGTCTAGAGTTCCCTACTCCAGCGCTATCGGTAGTCTAATGTACACCATGATGTGTACTAGACCTGATATATGTTATGCGGTTGGTCTTGTTAGCCGGTTTCAGTCGAATCCTGGACTTGCACATTGGAAAGCAGTCAAGAGGATCTTCCGATATCTTAGAGGGACGACAAACTACATGTTATGCTATCAAGGAAATGATTTGCGGCTAAAAGGATTCAGCGATGCCGACTGGGCGGGAGATCCGGATGAGCGCAAATCAACGTCTGGTTATGCTTTCTTGCTGAACAACGGTGCCATCTCGTGGAGCAGTAAGAAACAGTCATGTATAGCCTTATCGACGATGGAGGCAGAATATGTGGCATGTTCGGCAGCCGTACAGGAAGCAGTTTGGTTGAGGAGATTCTTAGAGAATTTAGGGGTTATTGTTCGAGCATCAGACCCTGTGACCGTGTATAGTGACAGCATGGCTGCACTTGCTTATTCTAAGGATCCCAAATATCATGGAAAAACCAAACACATAGCCATAAGATATCATTTTGTCAGAGACGCAGTGGCACAGAAAGAAGTGGTCTTGAGATACATCCCGACTACCGAGATGGTAGCGGATCCGTTCACAAAGCCTATCGCTAGGGATTTGTTCGTTAGACATGTTAGATCCCTAGGATTACGAAGGATGTGAACTATGTTTATGTATTCAGTGACTTTATTGTATTGTACGATCAGTTTTTAATAAAGTATTATTGATGTCTATTCTGAGTCGTGAAAAGTACCACTAGTATAATAATTTGTATGTCCATAGGTTATGATTGGCTTTCTCACACGAGCAATCGCCTCTGATGCTCTGGGAGCGAGCAGAGATGAGACATGAATGAATTGAGTCATTGGGGGACGAACTCGATTTATTCCATTATATGTCGCCTTGGTATGAACCTAGATGAGGCTTAGAGTTGTTTTGGAGCCGACATGGATGTTATTCCACCATCCATGAAACCTATGTAGAAGCCAGGTACGGATCCTATATGATGCTATAGAGAGCAAGCATATTGTGAGTTCGGGTTAGTCGCTTGAGTAGCAACTAAACTAGGACCTGTATGGTGATGAGTGACATACACTCCGTTAGGGAGAATCTCCACCATAGCATACATTTCATAGTGTATGTGCTAGAGATATGACCAATCAAGTGAGTGAGTGAATGGATCCCTACTTCATCACTGTGTGAGTACTTGATATCGTATATTGATTTACGAGTATACCCTTATGACTTTGACTATGCTACGAAGCGTAGAGTTGATGTTTGCTACTTTAGTGTGCTTCCTATGGTCACGAGTGATTCGATCTACTGGGGCATGTCTAGGAAAGCAGTCGACTCGAAACTAAGTAGTAGTAGGGTGAAAGGAAGGTAAAGTATTGTCATATCACTCATATGTGTTCACCGGCCGGCCAGTTATAATTTGTTGTGTACTTATCATAACTGGGAATACATATGGAGTAGTGGGAGTTAAGTATCGTCTTTATTTATTTTATTGAGGGGTCAAGAGATATTGGACTCGATGTGACAAAGTGAACCTAGGGTATAGAATACATCGTGTATTTATTTATTTTTCCCCGAGGTTGAATCTCCATTCTGGCCCTGTGTGGGTTTCTAGTTTGGAGCTCCCGCATGCAGGTGTATTCGGTGGTCACACGACCCATTTGCTAGTATGAACTCAGAACTGGTAAAAGTCATTACCTTTCACGGGTGAGTGGGAGATGACGGTTGAAACACCCGGTGAAAGGGTGTATGTGAGAAAAGACATAACCGTAGGATATAACCATTGTATTGGTTGTGTCTCTTGCATAAACACCACTTGAATCCTATAAAAGTATAGGTTCTATATGACAAATGAAGATGCAGAAAACATCATAAAAGAAAACGTGAATCAGTTTTGGTGAGTAGCATTTGGGTTGTGAATCTGCGATTCCGACTCTGGTAGCCGGTTTCCGACCATTGTCCAGAGTATTTGAAGACTGTGATTTCAACCAAAGAAAAGATCGACTGAATCGGTACACGACTATCCTTCCGTTTTCTTACACCACCTGCACAAGAAATGTGTCTATGTTATCATATGGAAAATGCGACAAAAGCACGGCCAAAGTAAGGAAATGATGTGAAACAGGAACGACTCACTTTGAATATCAGCTTCTATGTGAGATTTTTCCCTGCAGCAGACAACATATGCAAGACCAAGCAACGCCACGGCGACAATTAAAGCTGGAACAGCGATTCCCGCAATGGTTCCCTTTGAGATTTCACTGCTTTCTGCGCCTGCCCGAATGTCGATACGATCATTATACACACACAAAGTAAAATATAAATATCATCTACTATTCGTATCATTCACAAATTCTTGATTAAACCACAATTCTGCAGTAGAAGGGCTTACCTTTCTTGGTAGTGTTGGCTTGATCTGTCAGTGAAAGGGCACGAGAAGGCGGTGGGGCAACCATGATATTCTCAAAAGCTCCGGCGAAAGGAAACAGATCCCACCGGAACAAGCAGCTCGGCCTTACTATGGCGCCGCCTTGGTTCTGACGGCAACACAATTCATAGTCACTGACACAATTCTGCAGGCATTCCTTGCAATCCGCTGAAGATATATCCGGTGTGCACTGCATCAACGTATATACTTTCGCGAACGCTGTGGTGGCGGCTATATCGACGGCATAGTACTTACGATTAGACGATGACGAGTTATCGTTGGTCGAGGAAGCTGCCTCCACCACACGAGCCACTAGTCCCTTCCAAATTCTGTAAAACTCGGTTAGATTCGTGTTCATTTCTCCGCTATTGAAAAACAAGACGTGTGGGCTTGAGCCGAGCGATCTGAAGAAGGGACGGCTGGAGTAGCGAACAAGGCAAGCGATATTAACATCAGTTCGCCATTCAAACCCTTCTGTATGGTTCGAGCAAGTCTGTATTAGCTTGGCAGATTCCACTTCGATACAGTTGGAACAGAACTCAGGTCCAGGACCTGGGTTGCACATTCCAACGGCGTAAACTCTGTCGGAGCCCTGACCGACCGAAACGTTGTAGAATCCGTTTCGAGCGGTGACGTTAGAAGCAAGAAATGAGAGGGCGAGACGGCGGTTCCTGTCGTAAGCGCTGTTTGGTGGGAAAGAACCTGAAGTGTCCAAACATATGTGCGAATGAACAGTGACAATGCAGATGAAGAAAGAAGAGATGAAAGAAAACGGCTTCTTCTGGCTCTGGTTCATCTTCAAGATTTTGTGGTTGCTTGTGTCACAAGTTACTACCTGAAACCGGGAGGGATCTGTATATATACGTCTTTTTCGTGTGTGGAATTGCAGTGGACGAATGGATGGTTGATGGTGACCCATTAATATACTAAGTTTATCCATTTTTTACCAACGCAACTTCATATGACCGTTCTCGTTGTCGATCGACAGATTGAGTACGAGAATACTAAATCTTCAATATATCTGTAATTGTTCCTTCACAAAAATAAAATAAAATAAAAATGTATAACCCATGGTCCACCCTTTTTATTTAATGAGAATATTTAACGGTACACCATTAGTGACGAACATAAATTAAGTAGTGCAGCCAGCAGCCACAGCCTGCGTAAAACAGCATGCAGAGTTGACAATGGAGCATGATTGCCTATTTCTCTAAAAAAAATACATACAGGTAATGCAATTTTGTGTCACAATACCCTATAAAAGTTTATCCGTATGAAAACGTTTTACAAAAATTAACATAAAAAAATACTACTTCTATTATAGAAGTACGAAATAGATGATCAAGTCGAATAGCGTATGTCACAATTAGAAAATAAAAATGATTACAACTTACAAGTCATTTACATATTTTTATTCACAGGAAGAAATTAGAAAAGGTCAGCCCGACCAAACTGTAGGGATCCCAGGAGACCGGTCTCAAAGCCGTGCTTGATGGTCGGTCCAGGTGATTCAAGCAACGTGTGGTTATGTTTTTATAACATTTTTGTGTTTTTTGTTTGTCGTTTCTCTTGGCGACAAAAGTGTTATAATCACTTCCTGACATACCCATGGAATCCCATAATTTAAAATAAAACTAAAAAAAATAAGTGAATGATAAAAATACCCCTAATTAAAACTCTACGCGACGAAATTTTAAAACATGTTTCCTTTTCTTTTTTGAGAAATTTGTACCAGTGTACGATTTTCAACACTATTTTAGAAAAATATACCTTTTTTCTAAGCATTTGAAAAATTGAAAATATCCAAAATATCCTTCACTATCCTACATAATAACAAAAACACCATATATTAAATTAAAATAATAATAAATACGAAACTTGCCCCTGGCCAAATAAAATTCGTCCTCCGGGATTAAAAAGAATTATTCCGGATCAAATAAAACTCGTCCCGGATAAAAAAAGAAATTGTCCCGAATCAAATTATCCGGGAACAAATAACACATCTTCAGATTCATTAACCTAAAAAAAAATAACTCTGATAATTTTTTAACCTGATATTAGAGCAAGACAACGATTAGTTATGGATAACGAAAAATTGATTTTACTAAATGATTATCATTAATATTAACCTATAAAGATAGTTGTTCTCAAGATTTTCTCAGAAAGGTAATTACTATACCAAAAAAATCTTCATAAACAAAGTCGTTGTTATATTGGAACCATTTTTAATAATGATACTAATTATAATCTTGAAAATAAACTAAAAAAATAGGATTGACATTAAATAATATCGTTGAAATAATCGTTGAAATAATCTCTTATAGGATCATTTATCAAAATTTTGAGAACCATAAATAACTTAAAAAAATAAAATAGATTTAGAAAATCAATTACATAAATTAGTACAAATAATTGAGCATACATGTACTAATGAAACAAATAAATTGGTACCAAAAAAATATGAGAAATCATTTTAAAAATCAACAAGATGAACGAGGAAATATAAATAAGAAAGTAGACAAATTAATCAATCTATAAGAAAAGATAATAAATAAACAAATAAAATTCTGAAACATTAAAAGAATATATCAAATAAATAATAAAATGACCGAATCAGTTAAAGAAACTATAGAAAAATACATAAAAGAAATTTTCTCTAAATTAAAGAAACTATTAACAAACACGACAGATGTGCTCACACAAATAACTAATTACAACTATATTAATAGACAAATTCAAATTATTAAAAAACTTGACAAAACTAAAGAACTAGTAAAAGAAATTATCATAAAAAACAAAGGGAATGAATTAATAGAACCTAACAACGATGAAAAACCACAAATATATACTAAGTATAATAGATCAATTATAAGAAATAATTAAACGACTGGATCATAGTAGGTGCATTACTATAAAAGATTTATAAGAACATTTTAAGAATAAACACAAAACTAAAGATATAATTCTCATTGGTTAATCCAAACTATGAATTAAAACCTCCACTAGATCCAATGGAAGAATTAGATGATCACATAAAAAATTATTAACATTATTAGCTACTCTTCTGAAGAAAAACATCGTGTCGAAACAAAAAGATTTGTCTTAGATTACAATAATGATGAAAATCCCTACGAAAATCCATCAGTTTTTTCTCGTCAAAACGGAAGAGATGAGAAGTAGTAATAGAAACCAACGATTACCTAAAAATGAATGTTTGAAAAATATCAAAGATACAAAGATTACAAACCATAATTATATCGTAATCAATATATTACAAAGGAAAATGAATGAAAAAAAGATCATTTTGAGTAATTCCCAAAATATGATACATTTACCATAAAATCTCCAGAAATACTAAATCTAAATTGTGAAATCAACGTAATTAAAATATTAGAAGTACAAGCATATTAATACAAACAAATAAAGAATCAAAAGAATTATAAACAATGGATTATTTAAGGGTAAAACCCATAAAAATTCATAAACTTGCAAATGGTGAAAAACTAATTTCTAAATTTTTCATTTGACAATTTATAAAATGTGTCATTATAATTTTCAAACTTGTTAATTGGTGTCGGAAAAAACATTGACTACGTTGATCCATAAATTACTTTAGAAATTATAATGATATATTTTGTAAATTTAGGAATTATAATGATACATTTTGTAGGTTTAGGAGTAAATTTATCAAGTGAAAAGTTTAGGAATTAGTTTTCCACATTTTTTCAAGTTTAAGAATTTTTATGTGTTTTTTTTTGAGAATATAAACCAATAGGAATAGTTTACAACTACATAGTAGTGTCAAAATGGTCCGGTCCGAGCCCGACACAAGCTCGGAAAATTACGGGTCAGTCCGGCCCGAAACATGAACGGGCTTAAAACCTTAGGCGTGGAGCCCGACCCTATTTTTGAATATTATAATCCGAATAATTATTTAAAACTAAACATTAAATTAGTATAATTTTACGTTCATATATATGTATATATAAGTTTGAATAAATATATATATATATATATAATATGTATATGTATTTAACAGTCATAGTTTTGCAATTGGAGAACTGACCTTTCTTCTTGGTTGTATTGGCGTTAAACCTCGGAGAAGGAGGAGCAGATAGTAGAGAAGTTGGTGGAGGAGATGCATACAGATCCCATCGGAAATAGCAACTCGGTCTTGGAACAACACTGCCTTGTTTTCCACGGCAGCACGACTCATAGTCACCGACATTACGTCGTAGACAAGCATTAATCTCCCGGAGATAGATTTCGAATGCATAGCATTAGTGCGTATATAGTCTGAAAATCCGGTAGATTTTCTACTTCAGCTGAGTAGTTACCCTTAGACGGGGAGGAAGTTGCATCGATCATACGAGTTGCTAAACACTCCCATATTCTGTCAAACTCCGCTAACTTTAATCTGAGATCTCCAGTATTGAACAGCCTGGTACTCGGCTCCAAATCGAGGGATCCAAGAAATGAATGGTTGGAGTAGCGTAAGAGGCAAAGCGTCGGTTGACCAGACCATGAATAGGCTTCTGTCTGGTTAGGACAGCTGCTTATTATTCGATTGATTTCTGTCTGGATGCATTTGGAACAATCCTCCGCCTTAGAGCCTGAGATGCACATCCCCAAGGCATGAACTCTATCGGGTTCTTGCCCAACCGAAGCATTGTTGAATCCTCCTTGAGCTGTGACATTAGAGGGAAGATACGACAGAACAAGGCCACGGTTTACGTCGTAAGTACCGTTTTGGTCTGAAAGACCCCGCATCGTTCGGGCACGATAGCTGTGCAGAAACAACACCAAAAAGCTCAAGAGGGCAAACCAGAAGATTGACAACCATGAACCCTTCTGTGTCATTTTGGACATCAGACCAATGCTTGAGTTAGAATCACAAGCGAGTAGGGATATGAACATATGTCTCTATGCGTATCTGTTACGTATCTTGTGGGTTTAATGAGAATTGAAATTCCTCTGCAACTTTTCTGTAGGGTTTTTTTCCCCAGAAACACCGGGATGAGATTTTGCCGATGCGATGACCGATTCAAACATAATTTAGCTCAGACAAGCATCTTCTTCTCTCAAGGCGAGATTTTCCTTCCCTCAAAGGGAACGATTCCGGGAAAACTCTCTTCACGAAACGTGCAAATGAGCAAAATTGGGTTTCTTCCCTCAAAGTTTCAAATTTTCCTCGATTTTCTCAGCAATCAAACAAATACCCAATCGATAAATCCCAGTTTTCAGAAACCCATTTCAACCCGCCAAACGCAAAACGGAGTTCCTTCGATCCCATCAAACGATCTGACCTCCGAGAACGAAACCCTAACATTCTGAAAACTCAAATTCCAATCACTAAGAACACAGAACGATATCAAGCAAAAAAATTTATTACCTGTGTAAATTATTACAAGAAAAGAGAAACTCTTTCGATCTTTGGAAACGCAGCTGAAACGAAACTGCTCCAAAGGGGTAAACACCAGAAATGACCCAGTTAATTTCTTCGATACACAAAAAATTATAACCATTTGTCAAATGTCAACTTTACCCTTAAAAAAAAAGACATTATCACCCTTTAGTGGGTGGATCGAACGTATGTCTCTCTCTATGCGTATCTGTTACGTCATCAACTCAATTTTCTACGTCGACTTTGTCAGAAAAGAAATAAGAAATTTCCAAGAGCATAAGCATTGGCCGACTCAGTCAACCATTAGCGTTGCAGTTTCTCCAGGAAAATTAAAAGGATTTACCAAACTGGTCTGAAGATTTAATTCTGTCCACGTGAGAATCACAGGATATAAACCGGTTTGGTTAACCTACTGACGGTTTAGTGTATAAACCGGTTTGGATTGTATAAATCGACCGGTTTTTCGGTTTATTCCAAATGAATTTATTGATCACAAATTTTTAACCGGACAAAGAGTTCACCCCAATGAGAGTCTGAGACCATCATCAACACAAAAGAAGGTAACGTTCAACGAGGATCTAAACAAGTGATGGATCCATCATCAATGGAACCAGGAATAGACGGACCTGAGACCAAGCCATCGGCTCCTGCCTCTTGATCGCGCCTACTTTGCAAGAAAAATCCGGGCTGATGTGGAACTGGTAAAGCGATTGTGCTACTAGTGAGCATCACTATGATTGCCGACAACGTTGGACGATCTGCAGGATCATTCTGAACACAGAGTAACGCGATATGGATGCATCTGGCAACTTCATCACTCTGATAAATCTCTCCTACGGCCGGATCCACGAGTTCTAAGGGTGACCCGTTTCTCCAGAGTCTCCAAACCTAACATAGTAATAAATCAATCAATATTCATATAATCCGTATATATCAACGTTATAAGAGATCAAAATATCGAAACTTGGTTATATATGCTTACATGTGTGACCAAATTGCCCGGAGCATCATCCGTTTCGTAGAAGCTGCTGTTCACTTTACCACTTATAATCTCTAGAACTAAAACTCCAAAGCTGTAGACGTCAGATTTTAGGGAGACATAACCGTGCATCGCGTACTCTGGAGACATGTAACCGCTGAAAGATAAGACAAAGTTATGAGTAAACTAGTAACAAAGGGTTTAGATCGGCGTCTAGGAGAATGTTGCTTGTATTAGCGCGACTTTGGTTCACATATGATAAGGCAAAATCACTCACTATGTTCCAACTATGCGGCCTGTGTCAGCTCGACTTTGGTCCACTCCTAAGATCCTCGCCATACCAAAATCTGCGATTTTGGGGTTTAGATCCGCGTCTAGGAGAATATTGCTTGCTTTGAGATCACGGTGTATGATTGTGAGTCTTGAATCTTGATGAAGATATAGAATTCCTTTAGCAATCCCTCTAATAATCTTGTACGATGATCTTGTATCGTCTTGTCCAATCCAAATGATCTCGTCTCAAAGGGTCTACATATCATCACTACTGGTGTTGAGAAGGACTAGAGAAGGATCATATAGAACCATTCAAACATATGTATGGCGCGAGTTGAGTTCAACTTACCAAACAGAAAATAATCGAGGCTTTTGTTGAGTACAAATTCGTAGACAAGTATCTTTTCTTCTTCTTCCAAGCAAAACCCGAGAAGTCTAACAAGATTTCTATGTTGAAGCTTTGCTACAAGAAGAACCTCGTTCTTGAACTCTCGCGAACCTTGTCCCGAGTTCTTGGCCAGCCTCTTCACCGCAACTTCTGTCCCATCCGGAAGCATACCCTATAAGATCAACTTAATCCATCACACGATCCCTCTTGATAATGTTATACAAATTTCCCAGATGACCATAAAAACTCAGGCTACAATGAAACCATACCAGTATACCTTATAAACTTCACCAAATCCACCTTGACCGATCTTGTTGCTCTCCGAAAATCTATCTGTTGCATCATCAATTGTCTTGAAATCGAATTGCAGCGAGTGTCTAGATGTGATATCATCTCCATCTGCACAAGAAAAGTGTCTATTATCGTATGGAGACTGCAACAAAAATATGGCCAAACTAAGGAAATAATGGGGAAACAGGAACTACTCACTTTGAAGATCAGCTTCTGTGTAAGATTTTTCCCTGCAGCAGACAACATATCCAAGACCAAGCAACACGAGGACAACAACTAGAGCTGGAACAACGATTCCCGCAATGGTTCCCTTTGAGATTCCTCTGCTTTCTGCACCACGCCCGAACGGCGATACGAATTATATACGCACAAAATAAAATAAAGACATCATCTGTCATTTGTACCATCCGAAAATTCTTGATTAAACCACAGTTCTGCGGTGGAAGGGCTTACCTTTCTTGGTAGTGTTGGCATGACCGGTCGATGAAGGGGGTTGATCGGCTGGTGAAGGGGCTTGAGAAGGTGGTGATGCAACTGTGGTATTCTCAAAAGCTCCAGCGAAAGGAAACAGATCCCACCGGAATAAGCAACTCGGCCTTACAACGGCGCCGCCTTGGTTCTGACGGCAGCACGATTCATAGTCTCCGACACATTTCTGCAGACATTCCTTGCAATCCGCGGAAGATATATCCGGTGTGCACTGCATCAACGCGTATATATTCGCGAAAGCTGCGGTGGCGGTATCCACCGCATAGTACTTACGATTAGACAATGATGCGTTATCATTGCTCGAGGAAGCTGCCTCCACCACACGAGCCATTAGTCCCTCCCAAACTCCGTAAAACTCGGTTAGATTTGTGTTCAGTTCTCCGGTACTGAAAAACACGACACGTGGGCTTGAGCCGAGCGATCCGAAGAATGAACGGTTGGAGTAGCGAACAAGGCAAGCGATATTATCATCAGTTTTCCATTCAAACCCTTCTGTCTGGTTCGAGCAAGTCTGTATTAGCTTGGCAGATTCGGCTTGGATACAGTTGGAACAGAACCCGGGTCCAGGACCAGGGTTGCACATCCCAACTGCGTAAGCTCTGTCTGAACCTCGACCGACCGAAACGTTGTAGAATCCGTTTCGAGCGGTGACGTTAGAAGCCAGAAATGAGAGGGCGAGACGGCGGTTCGTGTCATAAGTGCCGTTTGGTGGGAAAGAACCTGAAGTGTCCAAACATATTTGCGAATGAACAGTGACAACGCACATGAAGACAGAACAGATGAAAGAAAACGACTTCTTCTGGCTCTGGTTCATCTTCAAGATTTTCTGGTTGCTTGTATCACAAGTTACCACTTGAAGTCGGGCAGGATGTGTGTATATATATGTGCGTGTATGCGTCTGTGGAAACTGCAGTGGACTCAGTCGTGTTATGATGAATGCATGATTGCTGACTGATTAGTATACTAATATTATATATATATATATATGTATATATTGCCAACGCAACTTCGTATGATCGTTCACATCGTCGATAGATTGAGTACGATAATACAAAATTTTCAAATGTCTGTAATTGTTCTGGCAGAAAATAAAATAAAAATGTATAATCCATGGTGCACCCTTTTCCTGCGCAGAGCGGCGTGCAGAGTTGACATCGGAGTATGATTGGCTGTTTTTCTCAAAAAACAAAATACAGATAGTGCAATTTTGTTTGTCGCAATACCCAATAAAATTTTATTATATCGGTAGACCATGTGTCGTTGTCGAACATATATTATCTTATTATTTGTATATTTTGGCATTTATTGACATAAGGAGTGATTAAATTACCATTGACTTAACAAATATCAATTACCTTGGTACCGTGCATGCATGATAACAATATCTATCATGACATACATAGATTTTCTTCATTTTAAATTAGAGACAATAGCATAAAACCTCATTAACGTTTTTGAATCGAATTGAAAAACTATATATTGTTTTCGAATTCAAATTATACCAAAAACTTTGATATCGTTTTCAAACTGAATCGAAAAATTTAATATCATTTTCAGATCGAATTATACCCAGAAACTCGATACGATTTTCGAACTGATGAATTGTGTTGAAAAACTTGATACCGTTTTCAAATCGAACCGTTCAAAAAATTTGTATGGTAATGTTTCTAAAAAATCAAATCGAATCTAACCAAACCAAACCGATTTTTAAATACTCCGAAAGAAACGGAATGTTTCTTCAGAAAATATGCAATTGACATCTCTGGTTTTTATAACATTTTTTTAAGTTTTTTTGTCGTTTCTCTTCGCGACAAAAGTTCGGATACTCACGATCAACATCCCATCTACAAATTTTATTACAGAACACACTAATGGTACCATAATACTATTTTTATTAATTATATATTTAATTAATATTAATTCTTCGCAGTTTTATATAAATTAATTTAACCAATTAAATTTTTTTGTAAAGATACTAAATTACATGATATTTGTGACAATTCCAACTAAAATTATTTATACTTTTCAATAAATAAATGTTTTCTATTATCGTATAAAATTTTATTTAGTTAAATTATCTATTGTTATATTCAAAAGTTATGAAATATTTTAGATACATTATTTATATTTTATAATAAATATCTTTATATTTGAATTAAAATTTTTAAATCATGGTGATTTAATTGATACATTTAAAAATTATAAACTTATTTTATAATTGTAAATCAAGTTATACATTCGTAATATAGTAATAAAATACTGAAAAATATATAATTCAAATAAATAAATATATTTACAAATATTATTATTTATAAAACTTTAAATTTATAATTTGAAGTATATATACATGATGTTTTTGTTACTAATAATTTATATGGTATGCATACCCGGATCCCACTTTTTTACAGAAATTATTCCTTATTAATATTTTTTTGGATAAAAAAGAAAAATGCATTAAATATGAAAAAAAAAAATATAAATTTGGCTAACTTTTGATTTATATTTTATATTCTAATAATATTTTTTTTTTCTCCTCCTCCAATCGACGAATCCTAGAGCGAGCAGTGCCATGATTATAACGCTGGGAACAACTATTGCAACGATAGTTACCGTCAAACTCGTTTTTCCGTCTGCACAAACACTCGAGTACACGGAGAAGGAGGCGGACATGCAGACATAACGTTTTCAAAGGCTCCAGAGAATGGATACACTTCCCACCGGAAAAAGCAGCTCGGTCTTGCAACAGAGCCGCCTCGCTTTCGCCCACGGCAGCACGTTTGATAATCGCCGACATTTATATTTGAAGTGCATTGCATTAGTGAATAGATTCTCACCTCGAAACCCGGGACGCATATCTTCTATTTCAGCCACGCAGTAGTTTTTTTTTTTTTTTTTATAATGGAGGATCCCTAGCTGTTACCATTCGGGCGCGCTGACTAGGTAAACCTCCGGTCCGGGAGTAGCTTTTGTATATGGATCATATAAACCCAGAAATTACCTCCCTCCCCACCAGCCAGGAATCGAATACTCAACCTCAAGGTGGAGTTACCTCTTACCTCAAATTTGACCACTCGCCCACGATCTGTTGGGTGCCACGCAGTAGTTCTCCTTGCCCGAGGAAGCTTTAGCGATCATACGAGCTGCTAAACCCTCCCATATTCCATCAAGCTCTGTCGAATTTACACTCATATTTCTAGGGTTGAACTCGAGAGAACTCGAGGGATCCAAGAAATGAGCGGCTGGAGTAGCGTAAGAGGCAAAGCGTCGGTTCACCAGGCCATGAATAGGCTTCTGTCTGGTTAGGACAGTTGCTTGTTATTCTGTTGGATTCTGTCTGGATACATTTGGAGCAATCCTCGGCTTTAGCGCCCGGGATGCACATTCCCAAGGCACGAACTCTATCGGGTTCTTGGCCAACCGAAGCATTGTAGAATCCTCCTTGATCTGTGACATTGGAGGAAAGCTCCGACAGAACAAGGCGGCGGTTTATGTCGTAAGTACCGTTTGGCCTGAAAGTCCTGCATCATTCGGACACGATAGCTGCGCAGAAACAACACCATATGAGGGCAAACCAGAAGATTGGCAAGCATGAACTCTTCTGTGCCATTTTGGAGACCAGACCAATGCTTGAATTATTAGAATCACAAGCGTGGAGGGAGATGAACATATGTCTATACAGTATCTGCGTATCTGCTACGTATCTTGTAGGTTTAATGGGAGTTGAAATTTCTCTGCAACCTTCCGTGGCCAGAGAGGTTTCAAGGTGACCCATCAGTCGTCATCCACTCCTCAAATGAATTTTCTACGTCGACTTTGTCAAAAAAATAAATAAATAAATAAGAAATTTCCAAGAGCATAAGTATTGATTGACTCAAAGTCAATCATAGCGTTGAAGTTTCTCCAAGAAAATTATTACCAACTGGTCTGAAGATTTAATTGGTCCACGTGAGAATCACGGGATATAAACCGGTTTGGTTAACGTACCAACGGTTGGTTTGGGTTGTATAAATTATCCGGTTTTTGAATGCAACGATCCCATAATTTTCCGGTTTATTCCATATGAATTTTATTGATCACGAATTTTTAACCAGAAAGAGTTCCCCCCAACCGTAAACTACCAGAAGTTAACGGTCAATTGTCTCCCCCAAGAAACAAATAGGAGCATAATTCAACATAAAACACAAAGAGAAGGCAATGTTCAACGAGGATCTAAACAAGTGATGGATCCATCATCAATGGAACCAGGAATCGATGGACCTGACACCAAGCCCTCGGCTCCTGCTTCTCGGCCGCGTCTACTTTGCAAGAAAAATCCTGGTTGATGTGGAACCGGTAAAGTGACCGTGTTACTAGTGAGCATCACTATGATTGTCGACATCGTTGGACGATCCGCAGGATCATTCTGAACACAAAGTAACGCGATATGGATACATCTAGTAACTTCGTCACTCTGATAGATCTCTCCAATGGCCGGATCCATAAGCTCTAAGTGTGACCCGTTTCTCCAAAGTCTCCAAACCTAACATTATAATAAAAATGTACATATAACCCTTATATGTCAAAGTTCTAAGAGATCAAAATATCGAAACTTGGTTATCTGCTTACGTGTGTGACCAAATTTCCCGGAGTATCATCCGTTTCGTAAAAGCTGCTATTCACTTTGCCACTTATAATCTCTAGAATCAAAACTCCGAAGCTGTAGACATCAGATTTTAGGGAAAAATAACCGTGCATCGCGTACTCTGGAGACATGTAACCGCTGAAAGATAAGACAAAATTATGAGTAAACTAGTAACAAATTCTTAGATCGGCGTCTAGGAGAATGTTGCTTGTATCAACGCGACTTTGGTCTACATAGGAAAAGGCATATTCCACTCACTAAGTTCCAACTATTCGGCTTGTATCAGCTCGGCTTTGGTCCACTCCCAAGATCCTCGCGATGCCAAAATCTGCAATTTTGGGGTCTAGATCCGCGTCTAGGAGAATATTGCTTGCTTTGAGATCACGGTGTATGATTGTGAGTCTTGAATCTTGATGAAGATATAGAATTCCTTTAGCAATCCCTCTAATAATCTTGTACCGTCTTGTCCAATCCAAATGATCTCGTCTTGAAGGGTCTGCATATCACTAGCCCGAGTGTTGAGAAGGATCATATAAAACCATTCAAACATATGTATCATGCGAATTGAGTTCAACTTACCAAACAGAAAATAATCGAGGCTTTTGTTGAGTACAAACTCGTAGACGAGTATCTTTTCTTCTTCTTCCAAGCAAAACCCGAGAAGTCTAACAAGATTTCTATGTTGAAGCTTTGCTACAAGAAGAACCTCGTTCTTGAACTCTCGCGAACCTTGTCCCGAGTTCTTGGCCAGCCTCTTCACCGCAACTTCTTTCCCGTCCGGAAGCATACCCTATAAGATCAACTTAATCCATCACACGATCCATCTTGATAATGTTATACAAATTTCCCAGGTGACCATAAAAACTCAGGCTACAATGAAACTATACCAGTATACCTTATAAACTTCACCAAATCCACCTTGACCGATCTTGTTGCTCTCCGAAAATCTATCTGTTGCAGCCTCAATTGTCTTGAAATCGAATTGCAGCGAGTGTCTAGATGTGATATCATCACCATCTGCACAAGAAAAGTGTCTTGAAATGTGTCTATATTATCGTATGGAGACTGCAACGAAAATATGGCCAAACTTAGGAAATGATGGTGAAACAGGAACTACTCACTTTGAAGATCAGCTTCTATGTTAGATTTTTCCCTGCAGCAGACAACATATCCAAGACCAAGTAACACGAGGACAACAACTAGAGTTGGAACAACGATTCCTGCAATGGTTCCCTTTGAGATTCCTCTGCTTTCTGCACCATGCCCGAATGACGATACGAATGATATATGCACAAAATAAAATAAAGACATCATCTATCATTTGTACCATCCACAAATTCTTGATTAAACCACAGTTCTGCAGTGGAAGGGCTTACCTTTCTTGGTAGTGTTGGCATGACCGGTCGGTGAAGGGGCTGGAGAAGGTGGTGACGCAACTGTGATATTCTCAAAAGCTCCAGCGAAAGGAAACAGATCCCACCGGAACAAGCAACTCGGCCTTACAACGGCGCCGCCTTGGTTCTGACGGCAACACAATTTATAGTCATCGACACATTTCTGCAGACATTCCTTGCAATCCGCGGAAGATATATCCGGTGTGCACTGCATCAACGCGTATATATTCGCGGTAGCTGTGGTGGCGGCTATATCCACCACATAGTACTTACGATTAGACAATGATACGCTATCGTTGCTCGAAGAAGCTGCTTCCACCACACGAGTCATTAGTCCTTCCCAAATTCCGTAAAACTCGGTTAGATTCGTGTTCAGTTCTCCGGTACTGAAAAACACGACACGTGGGCTTGAGCCGAGCGATCCGAAGAATGAACGGTTGGAGTAGCGAACAAGGCAAGCAATATTATCATCAGTTTGCCATTCAAACCCTTCTGTCTGGTTCGAGCAAGTCTGTATTAACTTGGCAGATTCGACTTGGATACAGTTGGAACAGAACCCGGGTTCAGGACCAGGGTTGCACATCCCAACTGCGTAGGCTCTGTCAGAACCTTGACCGACCGAAACGTTGTAGAATCCGTTTCGAGCGGTGACGTTGGAAGCAAGGAATGAGAGGGCGAGACGGCGGTTCTTGTCGTAAGTACTGTTTGGTGGGAAAGAACCTGAAGTGTCTAAACATATTTGTGAATGAACAGTGACAGCGCACATGAAGACAGAACAGATGAAAGAAAACGACTTCTTGTTCATCTTCAAGATTTTCTGGTTGAGTGGCTTCCGACTTTTTATTTATAAAAAAGAAATTTAAGATTTTCTGGTTGCTTGTATAATCCATGGGCCACCCTTTTCCTTTAATGAAAATATTTAATGGTGCACCCTTAGCGACAAACAAAAATTAAGTGGTGCAGCCTGCGTTGACAACGGAGTATGATTGCCTATTTTTCTAATAAACAAAATACCCAATAGAATTTTATTCTTATCTTTTTTATTTCGGAAGACGATATGTCGTTGTCGAACATATATTATCTTATTATTTGTATATTTTGGTAGGGCTGTGCATTTAAACCCGTTATCCACGTGTATGTGGGTACCCAATCTCGAGGGTACCTGAAAACGGGTACTCGACATCTAACGAAGATGAAAATGGGTATTAAAAAGTGGAATATCCGTCATACGGGTTCGGGTTCGGGTTTCATATATTGAAATAACGCGGGTACCCGTTATTAAAATGAAAAAATTACCCTTATATTCTTAATATAATTACCAAAATACTTAGGTTATTTCTACTTTCTTTGAGGATTATATATTGGATTTTCAAGTTTTGGTGAATTCAAATTCAAATTATTTTGTATTTTTGAAAATTTTTCTAGGATTCTATACATATTGTTATATTTTAAGAATTTTCAAACATATAAATGTGTTTCTAGACTAAAATATGTATATTTTTGTTGATTATTTGGTTTAATTTTATATTGTTTAATGTTTTATATATGGGTACGGGTGCTCATGAGTACCCGTCTTTTAGCTATGGGTACCCGTTGGACGGGTACCTGGATGTTGTGAGATAGAGACAAAGATAATATTTCTCTAAAACCCACGAAGACGAAAACGAAGACGGGTATCTCTAAAAACATGGATAACCGACCCGTGTCCAGCCCTGTATTTTGGCATTTATTGACATAAGTGGTTAAATTACTATTGACTTAACAAATATCAATTACCTTGGTACCATGATAACAATATCTCCCATGACATACATAGATTTTTTTTTTTGATAATTTGGAAGTTCACCACGCATCCGACCCGACTACATCTTCTAGAATATCGGAGAAATCTATATGAATGTCTCTCCCCAAATGAGGATTCCTTATCTGATTTTCTTAATTTTAAATTAGAGACGATTGCATAAAAACTCGGTAACGTTTTGAATCGAATCGAAAAACTCGATATTGTTTCCAAATCAAATTATACCGAAAAATTCGATATCGTTTTCAAACTTAATTGAAAATTTTTATGTGGTTTTCGGATCGAATTATACTGAAAAACTGTATACGGTTTCTGAATTGAATCGTATCGGAAAACTTGATACCATTTTCAGACCGAACTGTTCAAAAAATCAGTTTTCCAAGAAAATTAATTTATAAAAATTTGATTATCAATTTTTCTCATTTTTGCATTCTAAACTTCAAAAATGGTATCCATTCAACCTGCTGTAATATACATATAGCAGGACAAATTTCTGGATGCATAATAAACCGGTTTGAGTTGTGTAAACAAACCGGTATACCGGTAAATTATCCTAAGCGCACAAGTCATACCATATGATTCAGTCACGAGATTAGGCTGTAAAAATCTGCAAAATCAAGAAGGCAACACCGGCTGTATTGATTCAAAATCTTGAAGAAGCAGTAGAAGAGGCGATATGAGATCGAATACCTTGTAAACTTCACTGAACCCACCTTGACCGAGTCTGTTACTTGGAGAAAATTGAGTTGTTGCATCTTCAAATGTCTTGAAGTCGAATTGCAATGACTGTGGAGCTGCGATATCATCATCATCTGCACAATGCCACAACATTAGCTAAGAAACACTTTTTCCCCATCACACTATGATCAAACTTCCGAATTCGAATAATTGCAAAACATGGAAAACTCACTTTCAAGTTCCATCGGTCGGTACGACTTTCTCCTCCTCCAAACAACGAATCCTAGAAAATGTATACAGTTCCCATCGAAAAAAGCAGCTCGGTCTTGCGACAAAGCCGTTTTCCATGGCAGCACGTTTGATAATCGCCAACACTTCGTCGTAGACAAGCCCTACAATTTCCGGAAGGTAGATCTGAAGTGCATTGCATTAGTGAATATATTCTCACCTCGAAACCCGGTTCTATTTCAGCCACATAGTAGTTCTCCTTGCCCGAGGAAGCTTCAGCGATCATACGAGTTGCTAAACCCTCCCATATTCCATCAAGCTCTGTCGAATTTACACTCATATTTCTAGGGTTGGACTCGAGAAAACTCGGCTCCAAATCGAGGGAACCAAGAAACGAATGGTTGGAGTAGCGTAGGAGGCAAAGCGTTGGATGGCCAGGCCATGAATAGGCTTCTGTCTGGTTAGGACAGTTGCTTGTTATTCTGTCGGATTCTGTCTGGATACATTTGGAACAATCCTCAGCTTGGGCGCCAAGGATGCACATTCCCAAGGCATGAACTCTATCGGGTTCTTGGCCAACCGAAGCATTGTAGAATCCTCCTTGAGCTGTGACATTGGAGGGAAGATACGACAGGACAAGGCGGCTGTTTACGTCGTAAGTACCATTCGGTCTGAAAGATCTTTCAGTGTCAGGACATATCTGTGCAGAAACAACACCAGAGCTTATTAGGGCAAACCAGAAGATCGACAAGCACGAACTCTTCTGTCTCATTTTGGAGATCAAACTAGAAGATAGACAAGCAAGAACTCTTCTGTGCTATTGTCTATGAATATATATATTCCGTATCTTGCAGGTTTAATGGGAACTGAGATCTCTCTTTAACTTGCCATGGACAGAAATGTCTCAAGATGACCCGTCAGTTATCTTCCATTCCCTAACTGAGTTTTCTACGTCGACTTTGACAAAATAATTGAAAATTCCATGCGCATAAACGTTTAATCAAAATCAACCGTAGTCAAAGGACGAAATTCGGGTTTCTTCAAAAGAGTCAAAGACCAGCCCGAAGGTTTCCGGTTCGAGCTCGAGCTCGAGCCGACCCAATTTTTTTTAGATCTATACGACCAATCCCAAAGTTCAGTCGTACAGGACTCGGACTTCGAACCTAAATTGTCTGATTTCATGCAATTTACATCAATCCTCAATCCTACCATCGCATGTTTCCATATACCCACCGACATATCCCATTTCTCCATCCTTCTTTACCCTATACGAATATTCAATTTTCACAATAATACATGAATCGTCTTTTACATCCTCTAATACCCAACCCAAACCTCCGGTAACTATACAATAGCGATTCAGCCATTAGTGAAGTCCAAATAGAAACCGAGCTACACGTACCTGAGCGAAACCGATTCTATCGCCCAGAAACTGGAAGGAGTTTTTAATGATTTCGGATTCAGAGGAGCAATTAGGGATCGAAATACAGCAAGCTTCACTCGCAAAGGAAGAAATCACTGAGATTTTTGCAAAGGGCTTCGTGGGTTTTCGAAATGTAGTCGCAGAGAAATTTTAGGGTTTCGGAAGATCGAACTCCAGCGGACTTTGGGTTGGATTCTAAAATCTTAATTAAAGAAATATGAAAACCAATAATGGATATGTGATCGAAAATTCAATAACAAATATGGAGATGTCTACCGATTGATTATCCAACCGGTCTTTATATCCCGTGAATCTCACGTACACACAACGAAATCTTCAACGCCATTTCTATGCCCTTGAAATTCCCACGTTATTAATACTTCCACTTAGAAATTGTCATCATTGAAATGGGGTTTTAACCCTAATAACCCACTTATGTCGTAGCAATTTCAGGGTACACCACCCAGAAAAAAAAAAAAAAAATTTCAATTTTAACCCACTTTTCGATTGAAAAAGTCCAAAATACCCTTTTCGTTTTATTTTTTGCGACCTTTTTGCGACTAACATATAACTGATATACAATTAAAATAGGACGGATAATTTTTTTTGCCACCTTTTTGTAACTATATTTAGAATTAATTACGAAATCGTAATAACGAAGTTGTTTTCGAACGGATAAATATCGTGATTTATTAAGGGTAATTTCGTCTTTTTTCGGAGAAAAAAATGTGTTATGTTTTTTGTGGTGTACTGGTGAAATAGATGCGAACCAAGTGGGTCATTTGAGTGATTTTCCCCATTGAAATTTCAGTTTCTTTTTTTACAAGGTCGACGTAGAAAATTCACTGATGGGTCAACCTCCAAGCCTCTCCGGCCGCGGAAAGGGGGTTTTAACCCTAATAACCCACTTGGGTCGCAGCAATTTCAGGGTACACCACCCAGAAAAAAAAAAAATTTTGCGACCTTGTTACGACTAATATATAACTAATATACAACTAAAATAAGAGTAGTTTGTTAGTCGTAATAGGTTGTATATTAGTTATATATTAGTCGTAATAAGGTCGCAAAATTTTTTTTTTTTTTTCGGTGGTGTACACTGAAATTGCTGCGACCCAAATGGGTTATTTGAGTAATATTCCCCGCGGAAAGCTGCAGAGAAATTTCAATTCCCATTACACTATACAAGATACGTAACAGATACGCGCGCATAGACTGTATAAACATATACTCATATCCCTATACCTCCTTGATATTCTAATCTCCAAAATGAGACAGAAGAGTTCATGCCTGTCAATCTTCTGGCTTGCCCTCATAAGCTTTGGTGTTGTTTCTGCACAGATATGTCCAGACACTGAAAGATCTTTCAGACCGAATGGTACTTACGACGTGAACCACCGCCTTGTCCTGTCGTATCTTCCCTCCAATGTCACAGCTCGCGGAGGATTCCACAATGCTTCGGTTGGCCAAGAACCCGACAGAGTGTTTGCCGTGGGGATGTGCATTCCAGACGCTAAGGCCGAGGATTGTTCCAAATGCATCCAGACCGAATCCGATAAAATAATAAGCAGTTGTCCTAACCAGACAGACGCCTATTCGTGGCCTGGTGATCCAACGCTTTGCCTCGTACGCTACTCCAACCGTTCGTTTCTTGGATCCCTCGATTTGTGGCCGAGTTTTCCGCTGTACAACACTGGAGATATCGGTGTAAATTTAACGGAGTTTGACAGAATATGGGAGGGTTTAGCAAATCGTATGATTGCTGCAGCTTCTTCCCCGTCTAAGGGCAACTACTACTCGGCTGAAATAGAGGACCTACCTAGTTTCAAGAGAATATATGCACTAATGCAATGCACTTCAGATCTATCTCCCGGAGATTGTAACGCTTGTCTACGACAAAGTGTTGGTGATTATAAGTCATGCTGCCATGGAAAGCAAGGCGGCGTTGTTGCAAGACCGAGCTGTTTTTTCCGGTGGGATCTGTATCCATATTCCAGAGCCTTTGAAAACATCACGTCAACATCTCCTCCACCACCGTCTCTACCACCTCCGCCTCCTTCTCCGAGGTTTAACGCCAACACAACCAAGAAAGGTTAGTCCTCCAACTCCTAAACTATGACTGTTAAAGATAAGTTGTGGAAAGTTTTGAAGTAATCTTTGGTAAATGGTGTTTATGCAGATGATAAAACGATTTCAACGGGAATTATCGTGGCAATAATTATTCCCACCGTCGTAGTCATCTTGGTGTTGCTTGCTTTGGGGATTGCTGTATGCTGGAGGAGAAAATCTTATAGAGCAATTGAACTTGAAAGTGAGCATCTCCCTTCCGGGGAAATAGATTTCGATAATGGTTATGATTAAGGTTTTACTGATAAGCAATGCTTTTAATCTGCAGCTGAAGATGATATTTCAACTACCCACTTGCTACAACTGGACTTGAAGAGTATAGAAGCCGCAACAAATAGATTTTCGGAGAGTAAAAAGCTAGGTGAAGGTGGATTTGGCGAAGTTTACAAGGTACATACTTTGGTTGTCTGATAATTTGAATCAACAACACAAACGGATAAGCGACTATATATGACTTATGATCCGTAATAATTTGTAGGGTACGCTTCCGAGTGGAACCCAAGTTGCAGTGAAGAGGCTGTCAAAAACTTCAAGCCAAGGTGCAAGAGAGTTTAAGAACGAGGCTGTTCTCGTAGCAAAGCTTCAGCATAGAAATCTGGTCAGGCTTCTCGGGTTTTGCGTTGAAGGAGAAGAAAAGTTGCTCGTGTATGAGTTTGTGCCCAACAAAAGCCTTGACTATTTCCTGTTTGGTATGTTGGATTTCAATAATCTTGAAACTTGGATTGTGAATCTTGAGGCTAATAATGGTCAAGTATGGATCTGAATGTGTAGACCCTGCAAAGCAAGGACTACTAGACTGGACGGTACGGTACAAGATTATCGAAGGGATTGCTCGAGGAATTTTGTATCTTCACCAAGATTCACGGCTCACAATCATACACCGTGACCTCAAAGCGAGTAATGTTCTATTAGATACCGACATGAACCCGAAGATTGCAGATTTCGGAATGGCGAGGATATTTGGAGTGGACCAGACTCAAGCCAATACAGGAAGAATCATCGGGACATAGTAAATCTTTCCTTTCTTTTGTCAACAAACTGCATGTGTCTTTGCATTTGTTGCCTGAAAACTGAAGTTAGCTTTATGTTTCAGCGGCTACATATCTCCCGAGTACGCGATGCATGGCCGATTCTCCATGAAATCTGATGTCTACAGCTTTGGAGTCTTAGTTCTGGAGATTATAAGCGGCAAGAAGAACAGCAGTTTCAACCAAACAGAGGACACTGTCAGAAATTTAGTAACACAAGTGAGTAACAGGAACTGAACAAGTGAAAAAATGTTAAGAGTATTGAATAACTAACTGATTGATCTCACTGTCTATGGCAGGCTTGGAGGGCATGGAGAAACGGGTCGCCATTAGAGCTCGTAGATCCGACTCTTGGGGAGAATTACCAGAGGGATGAAGCAATTAGGTGCATCCACATCGGTCTGTTATGTGTTCAGGAGCATCCAACAGATCGACCAACGTTGTCAGCGATCATGCTGATGCTCACAAGCAACACGATCACACTTCCGGTGCCTCACCCACCTGGCTTTTTCTTGCAAAGTGGACAAGATCTGAGTTCAATTTCAGAGTCTAGTACAAGCAAGTCTGTTCCTTGTTCGGTCGATGATTCATCATTTACTGATCTTTATCCTCGTTGAATATGTCCTTCTCCTTGTGTACCGAACCATTCATCTTGTTCGGTGTCTTGATGTCCGCACACGTCTGGTATGAGACGCGAGCATGTTGCTTGTACTGAAGATTTTCAGCTCTTTACAAATAATAAATCGAATTAAATTTAAGGGTAAATCCGATTAAAATTCCACAACTTGAAAAACTAATTTCTAGATTTATTTCCTTAACAAATTAATTCCTTTACAAAGTGTGAATACAATTTTCAAACTTCCAATTTGGTTATATACAAAATATGGACCAACGGTGATCTCAAATTCCGTTAACTGATATCATTTCTAGTTTGACACGCAAATATAGATATCAATGCCACATAAACAGTTTTAAAATTTAAAAAAAAAAAGGATTCCAGTTGAATTGATCGGTTAAAAAAAACTTTACCTAAATTCCATTCCCCCTTTTCGATTAGGATTAAGGTTTTTTTTTTTAAATGTTTTCGAAGCCTCTTCACTAAGGATATTAAATAGATTTAAAGTAAATAATTATTTATATTTTTTATACGTAAATTAAATCTGAATGGGCCCTTATAAGCCCATATAGCCCAGACAAAAAATCGTATATGGGCCCATTGAAGCCCATTTAAGACGAAAAAATAAATTTATGTATTAAGACCGCTGATAGGTAACTTTTTCACGCTTTGGAGCGGCCGAAAGTCCCCTTACAGTGGTGGTCGACTCGTCTCGTCACCTCCGCCCAGAATCTCAGGTATGCCTGATTCTCTCTCTTCTCCCCGACCAGCGGAGAAACCTCGACATCACTGTCGGAACTGTGGTTTAATCAAGAATTTGATTTGCCCTGTATATCTCCATGGATTTTCTTTTCGGGTGTTTATCTACATTTCCATTTTCTTGCTTGTTTCCCCTCTCTGTAAAGGTTGTAACTAATCCCATTGATTTTCTGACAGAAATATTTGAGTTTGTTTGGTTGATGTTCTTCTTAGGGTGAGGCAGTTGCATGCAGCAGTAAGGGTGACAATCTCGGTTCCTTGTTCGTCTTACAAAGTTCAAAGTCCCTCACTTTGGATAAACCCTAGGCTTTATTGTTGGTGTACGAGATCACTGGGAACAACTTCGGATGCAGTTTCTCAGTTCGCTGGCTTCCCATGTCGGAAACCTTTGTCTCAGATGGAAGCAATTCCCTTATTCGCATCATTTCTCCTCTTCTCCGAATTCACACTCGAGAGGTCAGCTCATCGATTTTCTCAAGAAGCAAGGGTTCCCGAAATCTCAAGCAGTTTCCATGGTGGGTCGTTTCCCTCACGTTGGATCCCTCGACCGTCCTCGAACCGTGGTTCAACTTTTCAGAAACCTAGGTTTCTCTGATTCTCAGATCCGGAGCTCGATCCGGGTCCTACCCCAGATCATCTTCTGCGACGCCACGAAGAACCTTGAGCCCAAAATTCGATTTCTCGAAGAACTCGGATTCTCTGGTTCTGCTTTGCCTAAGTTCCTCTCTAAAAATTCCTCGGTTATGAGCCTCAGCCTGAAGAAAAGATTGATCCCTTCCACTGAAATTATAAAGACCATTCTCTCGCCTAACGACGAGAACAACAAGGAACTGGTTAAGGTTCTTAGCAGATGCAGTTGGCTGCTGAACAGAGACCCTAATGCGTATCTCTTACCCAACATTGCTTATCTCAAGTCCTGTGGAATTGTCGGCTCACAGCTTGCTTTCCTACTGAAGAAACAGCCAAGGCTCCTCATTTCGGAGGAGAACAAGCTTAGGGTTTATGTTTCTCGTGCTCTGGATCTGGGTTTCAGTGTTAACTCAGGAATGCTGGCTCACGCGGTGCACGCGCTCAGTTGTCTGAGCGAGAAGACATTCGACAGGAAAATGAAGACGTTTTTGGATCATGGGTTCTCAGAGGATCAGACAAGAGAGATGATCAGAAGGGCTCCTGGTCTGGTTCGATGCTCAACGGACAAGTTGAAGTTGGGAATGGAGTTCTACATGGAGACAATGGGGATAAAGAGAGAAACTTTGGTGAAGCGGCCATGTATGTTGATGCACAGTATGGAGGAGAGAGTGATACCTAGGGTTAAGGTTTTGCAGGTTTTGAGAGGAAAAGGACTGTTGAAGAAGAAGGAGCCTAGTGTGCTAGAGATGGTGCAGCTCCCTGAGAAAGATTTCTTGGAGAAATTCATATCAAGATTCGGAGATGAGCATACTATGGATCTGTTGGTGGCTTATAAGGGCCATCTAGTTGATGCTAGCGATAGCTCTTCTGGTTCTTGTTCCTCCAGCGATGATTGATTAGGCTCCTTCTTCAGCAAAATATTATGATTGGTCTAGTTGATGCAAAGTTCGAACTGTCTACGAGCAACTTGGTGACTTCAGTAATAACCAGATTTATTGAACTGAGTTATATAGACAAGATTTATGAAACAACCGACAAGACAAGCAGTTGGGCCATCAACGAGGGCTTAAATCTGTGATCGTTGCCTCGTCGATGGAACAAGGAAAAGACTTGCTGGTTATGTCCGATCCCCCGACCAATGGGTTCGGCTCGAGTCTATCTCCTAAGAAAAACCCAGGTGGTCGGGGCACTGGTAGAGTAATCGTGCTTGTGGTGAGCATCTGTAGGAGATTCGACAAGGATGGACGGTCTGCAGGATCTTGTTGAACGCATAAAAGGCCGATGTGGATGCATCTAATAGCCTCATCCGTATCATAGTTCTTCCCGATGGTCGGATCTACTAGTTCTAACAGTGATTCGTTTCTCCATAGCCTCCAGGCCTGAATTCATGATCATGGAAATCATGATCACAGTTACAGAAGTGAAAATCATAAAGCTTGATTGGTTTGTACTCACAAATGTGACCAAGTTGCCGAGAGAACGATCCGTCTGATGGAAGCTGCTATTTTTCTTTCCGCTAATAATCTCCAGAATCAACACTCCGAAGCTATAGACATCAGATTTTGTCGAGAACTGGCCATGCATCACATACTCTGGAGGCATGTAACCACTGGAAAATTTCACGATAAGCAAAGGATTCATCGAATTTCAGTTTACAGACAATTAGGAATGATATGTACTTACAAGGTTCCGACTACTCGTCTTGTATTTGCTTCGGTTTGGTCTATACCGAAATTCCTCGCCATTCCAAAGTCTGCGATTTTGGGGTTTAAATCTGCGTCTAAGAGAATGTTACTCGCTTTGAGGTCCCGGTGTATGATAGTGAGGCGTGAATCTTGATGAAGATACAGAATTCCTCGAGCAATCCCTTTGACAATCTTGTACCGTTTTGTCCAGTCCAATTGGCCCCATCTTGTAGAGTCTGTACATCAATATATAGTACAATCGGTGTCTGAACGATGCCTAAAGGATTATCGAGACTTTTGTCGGGCAAAACGAAAAGTGTCTGAGTTAATGCAACAGACCAAACAGGAAGTAGTCGAGGCTTTTGTTGGGCAAGAGTTCATAGACAAGTATCTTCTCTTCTCCTTCCAAGCAAAACCCAAGAAGCCTGACCAGATTTCTGTGCTGAAGCTTTGCGACAAGGACTACTTCGGTCCTGAACTCATTTTCGCCTTGTCCCGACGTTCTCGATAGCCTCTTGACCGCAACTTGCGTTCCACTCGGAAAGATACCCTGCAAATACATAATCTAGTCTCACCATCCGTCTAAAATGTCAAGATAAACGAACGATACTTGATGGTCGAAGAATGCAACTTTGTAGACTTCGCCAAATCCACCTTGACCGAGTCTGTTGCTCTCTGAAAAGTTATCTGTCGCTGCTTCGATTGCCTGAAAATCGAATTGCAGCGAGCCTGCGGCCGCGATATCGTCTGAAACTGCTAAGAGAACGCTTTTCACATCAACAAACTGTAAAACATCGTTACTAAACGGAGATACAAGTGAAATCTTTAACAGATTACTGAAAGAGGGTTCAGCTTTTACCTTCGTCCGAGGGTTCTGTATCATAAGTCTTCTTCTTTTGTCTATCTGCGAGGGAAAAATACCGATCTGCAAAAGGAAACCAAAAACAGAAAGGACACATTGGTTTTGGTTGTTTTTAGTGAAAAGATTACAGATTTGGATTCAATAACTTGCGAGATTTTGTTGGAAATTTAAGCAGAAACTCACTTTGGAGCTGTAATGCTCGGTGAGATTTTCTCCTGCAGCAAACAGAAAACCCTAGAGCAAGCAATGTGACGATAACCGCACCAGAAAGGACTATTGCTGCTATGATTCCCGCTGAGATTTTTTTGCTACCTGCACTAAAGATTATCATCACATGGAGGAGGACAGTTTGATGAAAATGAATGAAAGAAAAAGTAGTGGAACTTACAAGGGTTGTGTGTGTTATAAGGAACAAATTCAAACTTACCGTTCTCGGTCGTAGTGACGGTCCGACTGCCTTCCTCCGGAGGTGGCGGAGGTTGGTATCGAAACACAGAAGTGGTATTGTCGAAAGCCTTAGAGAATGGATACAGATCCCACCGGAAGAAGCAGCTCGGTCTTGCAACAACGCCGCCTTGCTTTCCTTGGCAGCATGACTGATAGTTACCAACACTCATTTGAAGGCAGGCATTACAATCCCAAGAAGATAGATTAGGAATGCATTTCATTAGCGCATATAACGTTTGGAAGACCGCGAGAGGTTCTGCGGAGGCTGCATAATAGTCGGGTGTAGACACGGCTGCGTCTATCATTCGACGCATGGTTCGTTCCCATGTCTCAACAAACACCGTTAAATTTAATCTGATATCTCCAGTATTGTACAGCCTGATACTCGGCTCCAAATCGAGGGATCCAAGAAACGAACGGTTGGAGTATTGTACGACGCAAAGCGTCGGTTCACCAGACCATGAATAGGCTTCTGTCTGGTTAGGACAGCTGCCTATGATTTTATCGGATTCTGTCTGGATGCATTTGGAACAATCCTCGGCCTTAGCATCTGGAATGCACATCCCCAAGGCGTGAACTCTATCGGGTTCTTGGCCAACCGAAGCATAGTAGAATCGTCTTTGAGCTGTGACGTTGGAGGGAAGATACGACAGGACAAGGCGACGGTTCACGTCGTACGCACCGTTCTGTCCGAAAGTCCTTGCGTCGTTGTGACACGTCAGCTGGGCCGACACAACACCAGAGCTTATTAGGGCAAACCAGAAGATTGGCAGGCTTGAACTCTTCCGTGCCATTTTGGAGATCAGACCAATGCTTGAGTTAGGGAATTGAAATTGTGTGTTACGTCTCTTGTAGGTTTAATGGGAATTGAAACTTCTCGGCAACTTTCAGGCTGGCCTATCAGCCATGATCCGTTCCTTCACTGAATTTTCTACGTCGACTTTGTCCCAAAAGTGAATCATAGCGAATGGCGAAATTTCCAAGTAGGTGGAGTAACGTTGAAAGCTCAAGGACATTAACCGCCTTCTACTTTCTCCAAGAAAGTTAAAAGGATTTACGAACAGGTCTCAAGATTTTTTCAACGTGTCTACATCAGATTTACAGGAAAGTCAAAAATGATTAATTGAATCGATAAAACAGTTTGTCAGAAACAGATTGACTGACACTTTCAGTGGGTCAACCATTGCGTGGGAAATCCGTAATAAATTATGAACAGAGTGCCTGAAACTTTGGAAGCTTCCAATAAAGTCTAACCACCGATTTCTTCTTTGTTTCTTGCACAGACCGCAACCAGGAGAAGACGTACTATAATACCCAAGAGAGAGACTTGAAAATTGGTCTGGTCTGAAGATTTGATGCTGTGGAGCAATGTTCAAGGTTTCTTGATGGATATTTAGATCTATCTAAGCTCTGGAACACGTGTAAGAGCGTCTTGTCTCTGTGTCTGGTCCTTGCATATTGCATAAGTAAATACAATTTTAGTAAAGAATGAGAAAATCTTGTTGAAGTTACACGATGGTATATGGTCGAGGTACCATTCATTTATCTCCCGACATAAAGAGAAAAATACAACTTCAACGAGGATCTAACTCAGTAACTGATGCATCGTTGACAGAATTAGGAATAGATTTGTCTGTATATTGTCCCGACTCCAAGTCCTCGGCAGCTGTGTCCAGATCCAATCTACTCTGAAACAAAAATCCGGGTTGTCGAGGAACTGGTAAAGTGATCGTGTTACTAGTGAGCATCAAGATGATCGTGGACATCGCTGGACGATCTGCCGGATCTTCTTGAACGCATAATAGCGCGATGTGGATGCATCTAGTGACCTCGTTACTCTCGTAACTCTCTCCAATGGTCGGATCCACGAGTTCTAACGGCGACCCATCTTTCCAGAGCTTCCAAGCCTGAAATATGGATGACCCATCAAATATCGAAACTTTTGTCTAACGTTAAATGATATCGAAACTTCGAAAAATTGGTTTTGGTTTACACTCACATGTGTGACCATATTTACAGCTGTACCATCCGTCTGGTGGAAATTGCTGTTCATCTTGCCGCTTATAATCTCCAGAACTAAGATTCCTAAGCTGTATACATCAGATTTCATCGAGAATTGGCCGTGCATCGCGTATTCTGGGGATATATAACCGCTGAAATGACAGGGGAAATTTAAGTATACAGGAGACTATATATAGGTTTTCAGACTTCGGTTTTATAAGCAACAAAAGGATTAAGTATTTACTATGTTCCAACTATTCTGCCCGTATTAGCTCGAGTTTGGTCCATCCCAAAAATCCTTGCCATGCCGAAATCCGAAATCTTTGGATTCATGTCAGCGTCTAGGAGAATGTTACTCGCTTTAAGGTCGCGATGTATGATTGTAAGACGTGAATCTTGATGGAGATATAGAATTCCTCGAGCGATCCCTCCGATGATCTTGCACCGTGTTCTCCAATCCAACCGGTTTCTTTTCGTACGGTCTGCACATCAATCCAACAGATAAGATTGACAAACCAAAGATTGAAGAACGGTTAAAGAATCGTCATGAATCCATGAGATGATAAGCCAAAAAAAGGACAACATAGTTACTACTGACCGAAAAGAAAATAATCCAGACTTTTGTTGGGCACAAACTCGTATACGAGTATCTTTTCTTCTCCTTCGAGACAAAACCCAAGAAGCCTAACCAGATTTCTATGTTGCAGTCTCGCAACAAGAACAACCTCGTTCTTGAACTCTTGATCACCTTGTCCCGATGTTTTCGATAGCCTCTTCACCGCGATTTCAGTCCCATTTGGAAGCGTTCCCTTCAAATGATTTATGTGGACCGAAATGTATCAATCATCATATTCATATCAACTGAATGTTTTTCATGCAAGATCTCTCGAGGAGAAAAGAAGTCAGGATTACTGATATATACCTTGTAAACTTCCCCGAATCCACCTCGTCCGAGCATGTTATTCTTCGAGAATTTACTTGTCGCAGCTTCAACTGTCTTGAAATCGAATTGCAACGATTGTGGGGTTGTTATATCGTCACCACCTGCACGAGGAAAGAAGCATAAAGACAGTAACTGAGACATCTCCGTTGGGGCTGAGTTCATTCAAATGATATGAGACAACTCACTTTCAAGTTCAAGTGCTCTGTAAGATCGTCTCCTCCAGCAAATAACGCATCCAAGAATAATCAATACCGAGACGACGACACCGACAACAATTGCCACGATAATTCCCGTGGAAAGCGATTCATCGTCTGCACAAGCTCAAGAATCACACCATTAATGATCATGGAAACAGGTTACAGATATTTCTCTGATGTCGATATGATCTAATGTGTGGATAATAAGGTTTCACATCATTGCATATGGAAAATTTACCTTTCTTATCACTGGGAGAAGCTGTTGGTTGCGGTGGGGGAGCCGAGGAAATATCATCGAAAGCTCCGACGAAAGGATAGAGATCCCACCGGAAGAAACAGCTCGGTCTCCGGACAACGCCACCTTGTTTCCCACCGCAACATGTCTGAAACTGACGGACATTTTCCCGAAGGCAAGCCTCACAATCTCCGGTAGATATATCTGAAGTGCATTGCATCAATGAGTAGATACGTTGGAAAGTCGTCCAGGACGTTACATCGGCCGTATAATGCTTACGTTCAGAAGAAGCATCGGTTATCATTCGAAGCATGAATCCCTCCCATATTCTATTGAATTCCGTCAAGTTCCCTCTGAGATCTGCAGAGCTAAACACCGATCTCTGAGGCTCCAAATCAACCGAACTGAAGAAGGAACGGTTCGAGTACCGTACCATACAAAGCGTTCTATCATCCGACCAAGAATACCCTTCTGTCTGATTCGGGCAATTCTTGATCAGACCGTCGGATGTTGTCCTGATGCAATCGGAACAAACGTCTGGTTCAGTGCCGGGAATGCACATTCCCACGGCGTAGACTCTGTCTCGGCCTTCCCCGATCGAAGCGTTGTAGAATCCATCCTGAGCGGTGACGTTGGAAGCAAGAGAAGAGAGGATGATGCCACGGTTTCTGCCGTAAGTAGCGTTGGCTGTGAAAGTTCCTGCAGAGTCTGGACATATTTGAGCAGAGACAAGATCAAAGGTTATGAAGACAGAACACAGGATTAAGATGGAGGAGGAAGATGAGTTCTTCTTCTTGTCCATCTTCGAGGTTTGAGTTAGAACTGGAAAGGTAAATGGATACCGACGTAAATATATGTAAACGTGCGTGCTAAATTTCTCCGTCGACTCTGTCAAAGAAGAGTGCCTGACTGAACTTTCTTCTTCACTGAGTGGTTGGATTAAAAAGCAGGGCCGTGTCTATTAGGGAGCAACCGAAACTTTGGCACACGGCTTCAATTTTATAGGGCCCCACAGTTTTTAAAAAAATATATATATTATTTTTTAATTCTAATAATTATTAATATTTTGAATAAAATAGAAAAATCTTTTAAATTTGTAAAAAAATAATTTTAGTTAAATTATGGTAAATATTTTATGTCGTTGTAATTTTAAATTTTCAAAAAATAAAACAATTATGAAGGGGTATTTTTTTATTTTTTAAATAAAATATTATTTGATAACAAATATCAGTGTTTTTAATGTATAATTTTTAGTCAATATTTATTTTTTAAAAATTAAACAAATTAGTATAACAGATAATTTCCATAAAAAGTTTTATAATCAATCTAATTTTAATTTTTAACAGGTGATGTATTTTCTTTTTTGTTATGATATATACTATAATTTATTTTCAAATAATTTTTTTATTTTAATATTTTTCTAGTATAATTTTAAATTTTGTCTATTAGTTAATATATTTCAAGAATTATTTTGAGATATTTTTTTTTATTTTTAAGTATAATTTATTACTAAATATTTTTAAACATTTAAAATTATATATATATATATATATAATATTCTTTCGAAATTTTATCTATTAGTTAATACATTTAAAATTCTATTTATTTGACATAATAAACACAGAGAATTTGATAACGTTTAGAGTTTTCAGTAGGGATGTTAAATGGGCTGCCGACTCGCGAGCCGGTCCTAAACCAGACCGTTTAGTGTCGAGTTGGGCCAGACATTTTTTAGCTCGTTACAAATGGTCCGGTCTGGTCTGAGCCAGAATATTACGGGCTCGTGACGAGCCGGGCTTATTCGAGCTGGGTCAGCCCGCGAGCCGGCCCGTTTAGCTCAAGAGTTTTAAATATTATTTTTTATTAATGATTTTAGATATCATTCATAATGATTTTATCTTTTTTGTAATGGTTTGTGTGAGTTTTTAGTATTTTTATGGTTTAAAACATTTTTGGTAATGTTTTATAAGATTTTTTCAGATCAATGGATTATTTTAGCATAATTTTGTACTTTATTTTTTATTTTTTTTAGCCCGCGAGCCGGCTCGTTTAGCTCAAGAGTTTTAGTGAGCCGGTTCGGGCCGCTTAATTTCAGCTCATTTACAAACGGTCCGGTTTGGTCCGAGCCAAGAAAATGGTGAGCTCGTGATGAGCCGGGCTGATCCGAGCCGGGCTAGCCCGTTTAACATCCCTAGTTTTCAGAAAAGAACGATGCGTGTATGTTGTATACATGGACCGCCAGCCAGTAACGACCATCTAGAATCTCCAATATATATATATATGTATATAAAAACTGAGCAGTAGGAGAGAGAGAAGAAGAATTCATTGAAGAACAATATAAACAGAAACCAGGCAAAACTTTCCATCTTGCCTTCTTGAATCGGGTTACTAGCTCATTTACAAACGGTCCGGTTTGGTCCGAGCCAAGAAAATGGTGAGCTCGTGATGAGCCGGGCTGATCCGAGCCGGGCTAGCCCGTTTAACATCCCTAGTTTTCAGAAAAGAACGATGCGTGTATGTTGTATACATGGACCGCCAGCCAGTAACGACCATCTAGAATCTCCAATATATATATATATGTATATAAAAACTGAGCAGTAGGAGAGAGAGAAGAAGAATTCATTGAAGAACAATATAAACAGAAACCAGGCAAAACTTTCCATCTTGCCTTCTTGAATCGGGTTACTTACGTCCCAAGAAACCAAACAAACATCGCTAACTATGATACCAGAGAACATCATCTTCCAAGAGGATCCAAATCAGTAATAGATGCTTCATTGACGGATTGAGTACCAGACTCCACGCCCTGAGAAACCGTGTCCAGACCTAATCTTCTTTGCAAGAAAAATCCAGGTTGTCGGGGAATCGGCAAAGTGATCGTGTCGCTGGTCAGCATCAAGATCGCCGTCGACATCGCCGGACGATCTGCTGGATCTTCTTGAACGCATAATAGACCGATATGTATGCATCTCGTAGCTTCGCTGCTCTGATAACTCTCTCCGATGGTCGTGTCCACGAGTTCTAGCGGCGACCCATTTTTCCATAGCCTCCAAGCCTAACAAAACGATCAGTCGTCGGTTAATTTGCTCCAGGCTCGGCTCGAAAGTGAGAAAAAGGGGGATTTTTGAAGGTTCGTTTATGCATTACTCACATGCGAGACTAAACTTCCAGCAGTACCGTCGAGATTGTTGAAACTGCTATTCATCTGGCCGCTCACGATCTCCAGAAGTATGATCCCGAAGCTATAGACATCGGATTTCATGGAGAACTGACCATGCATCGCGTATTCGGGCGACATATATCCGCTGAAACAGGTAGACAGATGAACTTGAGCATTCTGGTGACAAAAGGGTTTAACGAGACCTGGTTTATATGCAAATCAAAGGAGGAAAGTTACTGACTAGGTTCCAACTATCCTGCTTGTATCGGCTCGAGTCTGGTCCGCACCGAAAATCTTGGCCATGCCAAAGTCTGCGATTTTTGGGTTCATATCAGCATCTAAGAGAATGTTACTGGCCTTGAGGTCACGGTGTATGATAGTGAGACGTGAATCTTGATGAAGGTATAGAATTCCTCGAGCAATCCCTGCGATGATCTTGTACCCTGTTATCCAATCGAGCTGACCTTTCTTTGCAGGATCTGCACATACATCCCATGTACATAATTAACAAAAAAGCTTCAAGAACGGCCAAGGAATCATCTCGATTGCACGGAACATAAGCAAAGTATGTTGATATGCAACATACCAGACAGGAAATAGTCGAGGCTTTTGTTGGGAACGAACTCGTAGACAAGTAGCTTCTCTTCTCCTTTCACGCAAAATCCGAGGAGCCTGACAAGGTTTCTGTGCTGAAGCTTTGCCACGAGGACGGCCTCTGTCTTGAACTCTTTGTCACCTTGTCCCGATGTTTTCGACAGCCTCTTCTCTGCCACTTCAGTTCCATTCATGAGTGTACCCTGCAAATTCATACTGGTTATCTAACTGTATCTATCCGAAATCCATAAGAGACAAAACCCAGAAGCTGTCGAAAATTTACAACCTTAAAAACTTCACCGAATCCGCCATGACCGAGCCTGTTACTCTTTGAAAATCGATTCGTTGCAGCTTCGATCGTCTTAAAATCGAACTGCAGCGAGTTTGTACTTGACATATCGTCATCATCTGCACAGTGAACATTCCATTCAATATCTGAAAAAAATCGTAGTAACTCTGAATTTAGCATGTAAAGATGGATGGAAACATGAACAACTCACTTTCAAGATCAATGTCTCGGTACGATTTTCTCCGTCTCCGAACAACAACCAGTACCAAGACTACCACAACTATCGGAACCACAATCGCAACAATAGTTCCCGACGAATTTGTTTCGCTATCTGCACGAGCACGAACCACCGATCCGTTAGTTATTACACTATCTATTGTTTCAAGATCCTTTCTTGATTGTGTTTGCTCCATTGTCTTGGGGAGTAGACCTTGTAATGTTGTCGAAAGCTCCGAGGAAAGGATACATATCCCACCGGAAGAAACAGCTCGGCCTTCGGACGACGCCTCCTCGCTTTCCATGGCAGCATCCCTGGTAGCTACGAACACTCTCTCTCAGACAGTCACTGCAATCTCCCGGAGCAAGATCTAAAGTGCATTGCATCAACGCGTATATCCGTTGAAGATTCGTCCAATCGGCGATATCGGCAGCGAATTTACGCCGAAATGTCTCGGCGGAAGCCGAAGCTATTACCCGAAGCATCAACTCTTCCCAGATCCGATCGAAATCCGTCATGTTCCCCGTCACGTTTCCATCGTTGATTCCTTTTTGAGACGGCTCCAAATCCATCGTCCCGACGAAGGAACGGTTGGCGTAGCGCACAAGGCAGCGTGTTGTATCGCCTGCAGACCATGAATAAGCTTCTGTCTGATTCGGACAGCTCTGTATCACCTCCTCGGACGTTGTCTTGATGCATTCGGAGCAGTCATCTGGTTTAGTGGCCGGCAATGGCATGCACATCCCCATTGCGTACACTCTGTTCGGATCTTGGCCAGAGACCGAATCGTTATAGAAGAAGGCTTGAGCCGATGCACTCGATGGAAGAGACGACAGAACGAGACGGCGGTTGGTGTCGTAGGTGGCGTTCGGTCTGAAAGAACCTGCGGTTTCAGAGCAAATTTGTGCAGAAGCAATACCAAAGATTATGGAGAGAAACAAGAAGACCGACATGGGTTTGTCGATCTGATGATCCATTTTCAAGATTCGACAGATGCCGTAAGTGTCTGAAAGTGAAGCTAAATAGATAGACTAGACAGCGTAGTGTGGATAATGTGAACATGCTTTTGGTTAATCTAGTCATCTTGTATAGAGGTGGCCATTCTAGTTATTAAACAAATAACTAAACCTAATGGAACCAAATAAAACATACCCGAAGGGTTATGACTTTTTTGAACTGAATAATCTCTTTAAAAACTGATTTTTTTTATCAATAAAAAATTGATTCCAAATCTGAATCAAATCGAACTAATGAAATTTTTCTATAGCCAAAATAATAAAATTTAGATATAATTGTACCAAATCCGAACCGAAAACCAAAATAGTCATTTAGTACAAATCTTATTAAAAGAAAATAAGAATGCGTGTCGTGGATATTATAACCCTATTTGGTCAAGTGAGTGGGCTGAATAATAATTTAAAAAAAAAAACAAAATTCAACTACCAATGAGACCACCTGCCAAATATCTAATAAGCTAATAATGCAAGTAGCCCATTTTTAATTAGCCCATGATTGGAGTTGTTTTAGCCGCCGCGGTTTGCTATTTTTTTTTTCTTTCTCGAAATTATAATGATTTTTGTTTGCATGGTTTTGACTTATGGAGATAGAGTTGAATCAAATCATATGGTACTTGACAAAGAATTTTACTCTAATAATTTTTTTTATGTTTTGAGAAATCTGTTCAAATGCATTACTATATCTGAACATGTGTGATGAAATAGGAATTAGTACTTGTTTCTTGGGGCTGAAGTAAAGGTTTGCCCTTTTATGGCGTGTATGGATCGGTTGATTTTCTTACAAGAAACTAGAAAAACTCACCTCAGTTATGGTCCATTTTTTTTTCTGTGCGAGTTCTGCGACCACGTTTCTTCTGGTTTTTGGCTTGTCTGAAGAGAATTCCGAAACCACGCGTCTGCGTTTGTTGTGTCCCGAGGGGAAGTGGGCGCTTGAGCAAGAATGCAATCGCAGCCACTTCGTTTGCGTTTGGACCGCAGACATAGAACTTGTAAAGGGTGACATGCAATTCTCTTGTTGTAGGAATTACAGAAGTAAAAAAATGTTCAACTTGCCTTCTCGAATCAATTACGTAACACCCAAGAAACATTGCTAATTCATATCCCCGGTTGGGATCAGACCCGAAGAAGAGCACTCCATCTTCATCGAGGTTCTAAATCGGTAAAACATGAGTTGTGTCGATGGATTTTCTCCTAGACTGGATCTGTTCGAGATTACTTTCAAAAAGAAGAATGCCGGTTTCCGGGCACTGGTAGAGTGACTGTGTCATCGGCATGATCTTGTTCTTGGACACATGTATAGTAGACAGACATGGATGCATCTAGCGACGTTGTTACACTGATAACTCTCCCCAGTGGCCGGATCCACGAATTCTAATCGCGACCCGTTTCTCCATAGCCTTCAAACATGGCGAGATGATCGATCGAGTAACGACTCAAGACTTCAATCGAAGTGAAAGAAGCAGAGATTTTGAAACGTGGCTCTGTATACTCACACGTGAATAAACTACAATCAGTATGAAACGACGTATAAATCGTCTTGGGGAGTGGAAATCAAGCGAGAGAAGAGAGGGCAAGACAGCGATTTCTGTCCCAAGTGACCATTTGCAAATGATTGGATGAGATATTTCTAAAATGATTGAAACCAATATATACATACAGTGATGATATGTGATTGAGATTCTCTTGGGCAAGTCGAGACAGGGACGTCAATGTCACAAATGATAAAGAAGGGTGATTTAGTGAAATAGTAGAAAACCTAAGGAGCTCTGGAAAAATAACTTTTTTTTTCTTTTTGCCAACAGAAAAAATAGCACTTCAAAACTTCAAAGTAGCATAACGTTATATAATATATATATATTAGTATTACCTTTATATTTGAGGAGAGATTAAACAGAAAAAAAAAACATAATGTTTTAAGATTTGGAAGTTGGGATTTCCAGAAATACTATTAGATATGTATCCATAATAATCAATTAATTAATGGGTTATTAAAAGAATTATATGTGTATTTGTAGATGTAGGTCTACTTTTTTTTATAAAAAAAATCTACAAAATCATTTGTTGATATTTTCTGAATTTTATTTTTTTGTTTTGTCCTATTTATTCAACTCTTTACAACGTTAAAAAGTCCTAATTCTTAGCTTCTGATGAATTTAATATGATAAATTTTAAATATTTAATAGGATGAATTTAATTTTTGATAATCTGCTAGAAAATCAGAATAAAAAATAATAAATCTTCAAACACTAATTGTTAACGATAAACTCCGATAGAAACGCCATTAACTTCTTTTATGTTATATATTTAAAACAGAAAGTTAAAATGAGATAAAATAAAACTAATTAATCAATGTGGGAAAAGATTCCGTGGGTTGGATGTGGCCAGCGTCCTCAGATTTTGCTTCCTCCCGCCCGCCCTACCCACATCACATGGCACATAGATTTACCATTTTACCCTTCCCTACCCTGCTCTTTTTACCTTTTTACCCCCAACCCGGATTTTGCGCCCAACGGTAAACGTGTAAATGTGTTTTTATTAGGTAATCGTTGTTTAGTAAAAATTAAATTGATCAAAGATTAGTTGGTCCGCCAAATACTATCCATAAATAACTTAATCTCATAGTTGGTTCTTTTAAATTTCCCAAATAAATATATTATTGAAGAAAATTTTGAATGACTGTAATTTGTTTTTACGAATCCTAATTATATATCATTCCAAATCCCAAGGAGTTGTCTTTTTACCGTTGAATAGTCAAAAGTGGGCCTTACAATGTCCGAAGCGGCCCATTATGGCTCTGAGGTTAGTAGGGAGTTTTCCGTAATTTTACTCCAGTGGCAGGATCTGTAAATAAGACGATTAATTATGGGTTAGTGTTTAAACTAGTTTGAAATGAATAAATAATACATATTGTTTCTGGGTTAACACAGAAATTAATTGGGAGAGTGGAGAGAGGAATCACACGTGAGACTCCCGAGAATCATGTTTTGGTAATTTAATTAAAAGCTAAACCAGAGAGAGAGAGAGAGAGAGAGAGAGAGAGATTGCACAGTGCAGAAAACTGGGGAGCAACAAAAAAATGATGGCATGAAGGAGAAATCGATTGATGGCTTTTTCCCTCTTTTTGTTTCCATTACAAGACATGATCAGTTACCTCAGCGACACTCTTGTCATCCGTCATTCTTCTCCTCCAGATGCATGAGAGAGAGAGAGATTACGAAGAAATCTCTCCACATTACGTCACTCTCTCTCTCTAACTCAGGCATGCTTCTCTCTCTCGATCCTCTTTCTCTCTATCTATCTGTGTTTATGTTGGGCCTCTTGTTAGTTCTCCTTCCTTTTTCTTTTTCTTTGTTTAGACCTATATGTGTGCTTTTGTTGGGTTCTCTTCTTTGACTTCTATTTTCTTTTTCTTTTTCCTGCTTTACTATGTTCGTTTTCGTATGTGTTCGAAGGCTATGATTGAATCTGCTTCTTGCAAGTATCTTTGTGGCTTTTGTTGCTCTTTCTGTCTACGTATACGAGATTTAAATTGGGTATTTCCAAAGTTTCCAAATTTTGCATGTACTGTTTTGTTGCGAGGCTTGATCTGTATCAGTATTAGAATCAAATTATACCCTTTGGATTGATTGGGAGGGTCTACCGTTGATGGCAGCTTCAAAATGGGCTAAATTTCAGAAAATTTGTTCGTCGGATCTATTCGCTCTGATTGAGATTCTGATCCGTCTATAGAAATCCTTTGCAAAGTTTTGACATTGATTTGGCTTGCTTCCAATTGAAAGAAAGCTTCAGACTTTAGTGGTTTCTTGTATGTTGTATTTTAGCCTGAAGCTTTAATCGGGGGATGCATATTTTTTATCCTTTAATCCATGATTTTTGTTGAACTTTGTGGGTTTTGGATTGGATAAAGTTTCTGTCTTTCATCTTCTAGGGGTATGAGCCTGTTCATAGATGTCTGATAAGACTGCATATCTGTTACTTCACTGTGAAATAGGGGGCTGAAACTTGTAAACTTTCCATAAATTTTGATGATTTCAGTAGTTTCAATCTCACAAGGGGAATAGAGATGGAAGTCAGCAAAGGCATTGATACGGAACATAGCCCCGACAGTGTTCTTCCTCCTCCGCATCCGTTTCGAGTTTCAGAGAAGAGGAGTACGAGGTTGAAACCGCCTCGTAGAGATGAAATATTGAGAGTGAAAGAAGGCTTCACCGAGATAAGCTTCAGGCGTTACCGTAGCTCCTCTTGTAAGAATTTTCCTTCCAGACCTCTTGCAATGGGAGATAGAATTGAACAAAGGCGAGGCTCTGTGTATCAAAGTTCTAAACAAGTATTCAGAGAGATGAGATTCTCGGAAAGTACTCAGGCAAGGCCAAAACTTGAATTGTCCCGTGCTAGTGACGCCTCTTTCTCGTTCAGAATCGTGGATCCTTCCAGAGCAGGACGTATCGGGAAAATGCCACAGAACGATATTTCAGATGAACAGAAGTCTTCGGTCGAAACTTTTACATCCGGTGGCTTTATTGACATGTGCTTGAACTCAGGTATCAAAGACAGAGCGACGGTATTGGAGTCAGATGATGAACCGGGTGTCAGATCCGACAAAGCAGCTGGTTCTTTGAACAGGTATAATGGCCATAAAACAGGATTGCCCAAGTCCCAGTCTGCAAAAGTAGAAAGGCGGTCAGTATCTTTATCTGAAAGCAATTGCAATAGGGAAAGCTCAAAGACACAGTTTGGTAATATTAGGAAAATGTTTGATCCATTTGTCAAATCGAAGTCTCTGAGAAATCCCCTTGGACACATTGGAGAATCGGGCCAGTTCAAAGCAGAATGTACCGAAAAAATGATGAAGGACAGTGATCATTGCAAAGCATTGTTCAGTGGCAACTCAGATAATCATAAAAAAGGGAATACCCATCCTACAGTCATGAGTAAGGACCATACACTGGCCCTCAAGTCTTCCCCAGTTCATCTACGAGGTCGTCTTAATCTGGAAAACAAAGATGGGCTGCCAGTTTTTTGGTTCGTCTTGGATTCTCCTGGGGATGTTTATGTGGGAAAAACATGGAAATCTAACAATGGTTCCAACTGGACATATACATTTTCCTCTGTCGGAAGAAGAAAGAAAAGCAATGCAAGTGCATGGGGTTTGAATGACGGCTACCGAGAATCCTCTATCATTGGTCAGATGCAAGTTTCCTGTTACATGTGTACCGAACTAAGAAAAAAGGGTCAAGATCCAGACAAACTGATGGTAACCGAGTTTGTTTTGTACGATAGTGCGCGTGAGAGAAAAAGTGTTTCTGCACATGCAGATCCATCCCGACCACATGATAAAGTTCGGAAAAATTCTGCTAAACCAGACTTGAATTCAGGAAATATTGAACCGGATGACGGTTCTGATGTATCGAAGCTGAGACCTCAGGCCAAGTGTGCATCTGAAAGTTGCGATCTTGATGCTTCAAATGTACCAAACCCGTTGCCAGCTGCAGATTTGCATCCTGACCTTGAAATCGCGGCTATAATCATTCAAGACCAGATTGAGAAGAGGGAAAGCTTAAAGTATAGAAGAGGCGACCAAAGGGTCATGGATAAGAGGAATCTTCTAAGTCTTTCTCCTATCGATGAAGGCAAGAAATACTCTTACGGAAGCAGAAATCCAGAAAAGTTAAAGGTCGTAATCCCGAGGGGAAACCATGGCATACCAACTTCTGAAAGCTTTGGCCCTTCACCTTTGCTTAAGAGATGGAGGTCAGGTGGCTGCTGTGACTGTGGTGGTTGGGACATGGCTTGCCCTCTTGTGGTTTTCGGAAACCCTAGTCTCTCATGTTCTCATGATCACCCTCTTGTGGACAATCACCATCCATTGAAACTATTTGCCCAGGTAAAAAAATGGATCCTTTTACTCAATGGAACACGATTCTGTTGCTAATGGTGCATGTAAATTTTGAACTGCATGGCTAGTTTTAAAGATTGGAGCTTTATGATAGATTTCAACTGCAAAACCTTACACTTTGCCCCGTATAAGTGTTAAATGCTTGATGTGGAACTCTTGTTCCATTTTTATCTTACATGTTAGACAGTTTGGTCATTCTGATGTTTTATCTTTATAGGGAGCTAAGGAGAATACACCAGCGTTGTCCATGTCATTTGTCGAGGAGGGACAATATGATATTCATTTCCATGCACAGTTATCAGCATTGCGTCTACTTTGCAAGAAAAATCCTGGTTGATGTGGAACCGGTAAAGTGACCGTGTTACTAGTGAGCATCACTATGATTGTCGACATCGTTGGACGATCCGCAGGATCATTCTGAACACAAAGTAACGCGATATGGATACATCTAGTAACTTCGTCACTCTGATAGATCTCTCCAATGGCCGGATCCATAAGCTCTAAGTGTGACCCGTTTCTCCAAAGTCTCCAAACCTAACATTATAATAAAAATGTACATATAACCCTTATATGTCAAAGTTCTAAGAGATCAAAATATCGAAACTTGGTTATCTGCTTACGTGTGTGACCAAATTTCCCGGAGTATCATCCGTTTCGTAGAAGCTGCTATTCACTTTGCCACTTATAATCTCTAGAATCAAAACTCCGAAGCTGTAGACATCAGATTTTAGGGAAAAATAACCGTGCATCGCGTACTCTGGAGACATGTAACCGCTGAAAGATAAGACAAAGTTATGAGTAAACTAGTAACAAATTCTTAGATCGGCGTCTAGGAGAATGTTGCTTGTATCAACGCGACTTTGGTCTACATAGGAAAAGGCATATTCCACTCACTAAGTTCCAACTATTCGGCTTGTATCAGCTCGGCTTTGGTCCACTCCCAAGATCCTCGCGATGCCAAAATCTGCAATTTTGGGGTCTAGATCCGCATCTAGGAGAATATTGCTTGCTTTGAGATCACGGTGTATAATTGTGAGTCTTGAATCTTGATGAAGATATAGAATTCCTTTAGCAATCCCTCTAATAATCTTGTACCGTCTTGTCCAATCCAAATGATCTCGTCTTGAAGGGTCTGCATATCACTAGCCCGAGTGTTGAGAAGGATCATATAGAACCATTCAAACATATGTATCGTGCGAGTTGAGTTCAACTTACCAAACAGAAAATAATCGAGGCTTTTGTTGAGTACAAACTCATAGACGAGTATCTTTTCTTCTTCTTCCAAGCAAAACCCGAGAAGTCTAACAAGATTTCTATGTTGAAGCTTTGCTACAAGAAGAACCTCGTTCTTGAACTCTCGCGAACCTTGTCCCGAGTTCTGGGCCAGCCTCTTCACCGCAACTTCTTTCCCGTCCGGAAGCATACCCTATAAGATCAACTTAATCCATCACACGATCCATCTTGAATATGTTATACAAATTTCCCAGGTGACCATATAAACTCAGCTGGCTACAATGAAACTACCAGTATACCTTATAAACTTCCCCAAATCCACCTTGACCGATCTTGTTGCTCTCCGAAAATCTATCTGTTGCAGCCTCAATTGTCTTGAAATCGAATTGCAGCGAGTGTCTAGATGTGATATCATCACCATCTGCACAAGAAAAGTGTCTATTATCGTATGGAGACTGCAACGAAAATATGGCCAAACTAAGGAAATGATGGGGAAACAGTAACTACTCACTTTGAAGATCAGCTTCTGTGTAAGATTTTTCCCTGCAGCAGACAACATATCCAAGACCAAGCAACACGAAGACAACAACTAGAGCTGAAACAATGATTCCCGCAATGGTTCCCTTTGAGATTCCTCTGCTTTCTGCACCTGCCCGAACGGCGATACGATCATTATATACGCATAAAATAAAATAAAGACATCATCTATCATTTGTACCATCCACAAATTCTTGATTAAACCACAGTTCTGCAGTGGAAGGGCTTACCTTTCTTGGTAGTGTTGGCATGACCGGTCGATGAAGGGGGTTGATCGGCCGGTGAAGGGGCTTGAGAAGGTGGTGACGCAACTGTGGTATTCTCAAAAGCTCCGGCGAAAGGAAACAGATCCCACCGGAACAAGCAACTCGGCCTTACAATGGCGCCGCCTTGGTTCTGACGGCAACACAATTTATAGTCACCGACACATTTCTGCAGACATTCCTTGCAATCCGCGGAAGATATATCCGGTGTGCACTGCATCAACGTGTATATATTCGCGAAGGCTGTGGTGGCGGCTGTATCCACCGCATAGTACTTACGATTAGACAATGATGCGCTATCGTTGCTCGAAGAAGCTGCCTCCACCACACGAGTCATTAGTCCCTCCCAAATTCCGTAAAACTTGGTTAGATTCGTGTTCAGTTCTCCGGCATTGAAAAACACGACATGTGGGCTTGAGCCGAGCGATCCGAGGAATGAACGGTTGGAGTAGCGAACAAGGCAAGCGATACTATCATCAGTTTGCCATTCAAACCCTTCTGTCTGGTTCGAGCAAGTCTGTATTAGCTTGGCAGATTCGACTTGGATACAGTTGGAACAGAAGCCGTGTTCAGGACCTGGGTTGCACATCCCAACTGCGTAAGCCCTGTTGGAGCCTTGACCGACCGAAACGTTGTAGAATCCATTTCGAGCGGTGACGTTAGAAGCAAGGAATGAGAGGGCGAGACGGCGGTTCTTGTCGTAAGCACTGTTTGGTGGGAAAGAACCTGAAGTGTCCAAACATATTTGTGAATGAACAGTGACAATGGACATGAAGACAGAACAGATGAAAGAAAACGACTTCTTGTTCATCTTCAAGATTTTCTGGTTGAGTGGCTTCCGACTTTTTATTTATCCAAAAAAAAAAAAGATTTTCTGGTTGCTTGTATAATCCATGGGCCATCCTTTTCCTTTAATGAACATATTTAATGGTGCACCCTTTGTGCCAAACATAAATTAAGTAGTGTCCCCACTTATCATGATATGCCCCCGCTTAAAATTTTTTTAGCCAATAAAATTTTATTCTTATCTTCTTTTTTTTTTTTTAATATCGGTAGACGATATGTCGTTGTTGAACATATATTATCTCATTATTTGTATATTTTGGCATTTATTGACATATATAAGGAGTGATTAAATTACCATTGACTTAACAATATCGTTTTCAAACTGCATTGAAAAAATTGATGTGGTTTTCGGATTGTATTATACCCAAAAACTCGATACGATTTTCGAATTGAATCGTATCTGAAAATTTGATACTGTTTTCAGACTGAGCCGTTCAAAAAATTAGTGTAGTGGTTCAGGCCGGCCGGAAATCTCACCGAATCACTCCGAATCTCTCGTGTGAACCAAGACCGAAAGAAGAGGACGACACAGAGAAGTTACGAGTTCAGCACCGAGCGTAAAGCTCGGGCCTACGTCTCGGGAAGAGGAAGCCGCATCTTTTGCTAGGGTTTACAACAGGAAACACCGCCGGGAACCGCCGAACGGCGGTCCCGAACACGGAGAAGCGAAAATCGCCTCCGTCAGAGAGAGAAAGAACCAGAACAGGAAAAACGCGAGATAGGGAACAACCCAAAACCTAGGTCAGATTAATGACCTTAACAAATGACCAATTTGCCCCCTTGAACCTTCTGTTTCGCCCAGAAGCTTTGAAAGCTTCCACTTCGCCTGGAGACTTCGGGAACCTCTCCTCCATTTGGAGGCTTTGCTGAAGACACTCCACAAATCTCCACCTTCTTCTGCAAATCCCTGCACAACCTGCAAAACGGGAAAACACCGAAGAAACTACGCCAACAACCCTAGCACGCTGTCGCTTCCCTTTTACTTCTATTAGTAACTCTACCTCCCGACACATCCTAGGCGTATCAAACGTGCCGCTCTAATAGAGTTCTTACCGAGCGTACCATAAGTACGTCTCAGCGTGATAAACAAATAAACACGCAAACCTAGTCTACCCAAAACGAGTGTCCCCGACACCTTCCGTTTTCCGAAGACTAGCTAAGACCTCGACTAGTTATGACTCTCTAGACCGTCTAACTAACCCTCCTAGTAAAGTCCAAGACTATACCTGCTAGCTAACCCGAGGATTATACCCGACGTCTACCCGTCTCCCGAGTCTAACCCGACTACCCCGAGACTAACCTGAGTCATACTATCGAACCTGCTAGACAACCTAGCCCCGGATCCCCGTAAAGTCTACACCACCTATGAGTTAGTGACTTCTACCCACGGACCCTAACCTGCCAACTAGAATTGTCCCACGGTTTTGTCCCGTGAAGACGATCCTAGTCATCTACGATGCTCCACCGAGAATGAGACACGTGAGTGCACGTGCTCCACCTCGAGAGGGAGTGTCCTAGCGCTCCAACCTACACCGACTCTGCCCGGTGACCCGACACCTCCCTGCTCATACCATCTCCTGAGCATCCTACCCGAGGAAACTCCACCTAAATGTGGAGACCTCACCTCCTGACCTACCACCGAGAACCGAAGCATCTTCGGTTACTCCTCCGAGGTCAAAAATGTCCTTTTATCTTGGACTCTCCCTACCTCGTCATCCGGGATCTACAAATC